CGTACACGCCCGCCAGGCACTGCCACCGCTCCAACTGCACATCGGAACACATAATAAATATCTTAACATCTCTTATTTTTTAGCCTTACCAACATAAAAATGAACAAGAAAGAGATATTTTTCCGCAATATGGCGACGGTTGTTATTTTTATGGTGAGGCTTTAAATTATTAGTAGTTTAATAATCAGTATTATATCAGTATTTTTCAGTAACAAATCTCGTAAACTTACATAATTTCAAGCACATATTAATATAATAAAACCGTATTATCAATTTACCACAGATGTGAAAACCTCTAGGGGAGCTAAATCTGCTACTCGAGCGATGCACTCAATGCAATGCTTTAGGAATGTTTGCCATTCTGTCTCGCCCTGGAAAATGCGAACCAATCAGTAACGTTCAAATTAAACATGTTAAAAATATCAGATAAATTAAGCAGAAACTTACATCGTCATCACAAACGTCATTATCGAGATGTTGCAATTGCGCCTTGTTGTGTTGGAATTGTATTTTGTTGAGCACGCCGTTCACAAGCGCCTGCAGAGCTTCCCAATATCTATCAGATTAAATTATTTTTAATATTTCACACAACGAAGCTAAACACAACTGAATTATAAAACGGAACATTCACTTACTTGGCAGTGTCCTCGGGTTTTAGAATGTCAATAAATTGTATCCATATATCTAAACAGTTAACAAAAATAGTACACGTGGGAACCTGAAAGTGAAAAAATAATTTTAATTTATCATATACTTAAAGTTGTACAAAACAAATCAATACTGTATCACAAGTGCTACCTGGAATGTATACTGGAATAAATAAGACAAAAATTCGATAGCATCAAACTCTGGCTCTGCCTCCAGCCTCTTGAAGTGCAATGAGACAAACAGCTTCAGGAACTCTGCCAACTTATTTAAATAGCTAAAAGATAAACATTGATATTACTTTTAACAACATGTGTTATTAATAACATAATATTTAAAAAGGTCCTAATTGTACTAGTTAATTCCATTATTAATCAAAATGTACAAATCAAATAGATTAAAAAAATAAATGTTAAACTTAATTTTTTAACCAACTACAAAAAGGAGGAGTTCTATTCAATTGTTTTTTTTTTCTTAAACATCGATTGTGATTTACGATCCGACTAGCTTTCGAACGCAAATCCGCCGGCCCGGAATTAAAAATAAATAAAAGTGGTTAGCCTATGTGTTCTTCCAGACTATCATCTATGTCTATGCCAAATGTTATCGAGATCCTTTCAGCAGTTTAGGTTACAAACTCTAACAAACATCTGTCTAAACTTTCGCATTTGTAACATTAGTAATGATTCTTTATAAGTTTGCTACGGGAAAGGGTAAAAAATACTTGACAACAGTGTTTTAGTTGTTGTACGTACTCGTGGTGCGCGTGGTAGAGGGGGTGGTGCGCGTGTTGGTGTGTGAGGTGTCTCAGCAGGCGCAGCGAGCAGTGGTGCAGGCGCAGCGCCGTCGCCGCGGAGGAGGGCGGCGCGTACCGCCGGTACAACAGCTCGCACACGCCGCCCAGCCCCGCCAACGCCGCCTCGCCACTCTACATGCATCATCATCATCTCACGAAACCCCTGAGCCACCGACACTTTTACACGTACAGATGCAGAAAGCCCGGTGTTCCACTTTAGAAAAAAATCCTTGTCCATTGCCACAAGACAAGTTCCCCACATCCTATAAATATCTAGATAGCAGAGAGTGGTGCAAACGAAGTATAATAATAATAAGTAACTAGCCGTGTATCACTAACCGACTTCTTTACGTACAGATACTTATATAAACTGCATTATGTTGGTTTTTTTCCGTGTCTTATTTCAAAATGTGCAAACCATTGAAGCTTTAAAGGTGGAACATCGCCGATTTCTCCAACTATACATGATATAACAAAAAACAAACCCACAGCGCAACAAAGAATATAAAAACCCTGACATGGACCTTCAATCGCCTTCTTTATTACATCAGCAGTAAGAATAGGTAATACATACATACATATATTATTCTTTGTTAATTAGTATCAGGTGGTTTGATCTCCCCCACACCCACAATGCCATTATAAGTTTGGGCTCTCTGGCTAATACTGAATGTACACTCTTTATAATGTGTAAAGAAATTAGTTTTATATATTTCTACAAAGTCAAGCTATACTACATTTTATTGTTTGTTTCTAATAGCACAAGTATATAACTTTGATAAAATCAGAGTCTTTAAACAGATGTGTATAGAAACTCATGGATAGTTCTCAAAGTAAGACAACATGGTGCTTAGAGGCATATGCATTGCCAATATGCTAAACCAAAAAATACAAAATTAAAATATACCTACAATTTTATTAATTGGAAAGAAAATACCCAAAAAGTATTCAAGGAAAAGAAACTCTTCTTAAAAAAATGTTTAAAAAGCGATATAAACTCGTAGTGTTTACCTGTGTCTGTGTAGCTATACTGCCCCAGTAAAAGACTGTAGTCACCAATGATGCTGGTACATGGGAAGACAGCGGCAGCCATGAGAATAAATGTTGTAATGTTGTCAAACATTTCACAACTATTTCCATGTTTAGAGCTCTGAAAAACATAGATTTGTTTTAAATACTTATTTATAATTGTAAATAATATTAAACAATACACTGTAACTGATATTTGTGCTTTTAAACTTTTTCCTCTTCTAAAATTGTAAAATGATCTTGTCATTAATATAAATTTTTTTTATTAATGAAACCTTTCCTAAGATTATTTTTAAAATAATACATACTTGTCTGAAGCACATACATCATGTGCATTTGCCAATAAATCTGGTAGAGCAGAAGTTTGTGGGAAGCCACTCGTGGGTGACGGTGGAGGATTTGACTGGCCTTCTTTTTGCGCATTTTTTTCCAGTATATCTAAAAAGAAGATAAAACACATGTACATCAAAAAAACTAAAAAATATCTTTTGTAATTATTACATGTAACACTTACCACTAAGAGCTGAAAGCATTTGTGGCATTCCTTTCAACATCAAGCGCTCCAGTTGCGTGCGGCGGGTGGAGGGAAGCAGCACACCGGTATCACGAACTGCGCCTAGTTCCTCACTTGCAGTCTGCGCTAGGATTAGACCCAGCACGCAACGGTGACCATCACTTCTTAACAGCTACAAATGTGGTTAAAAACGTAATTCTTACTCATATTATAATTGTACAAGTTTTGATGGATGGATGTTTGCTAAAAGGTATTTCCAAAATCCAGAACTTAATTGGGAATAACACATAGGTTACTTATCACAATATTTTTTAGTTCCGCACAGACAAAGTCAGGAGCAAAAGTTAGTAACATAAGAGGCAAAGTGTAAAAAATGTAAAAGATGATTGTTGTGTTTGATTAGACTAATTTTATTTGACTTTTGAGTTACTAAACATGTGTTATACAATATGTAACTATTTTTATGTTGAATAATTAATCCTTAATGTATTATTTAGTATACCTCAACAATATTGCTAAAGAAGTCAGGGTAATCATGGGGCCAGTCATATCTAGCAATAGCAATCATAAGAGCAGCTAGTTTGTTCCTAATGAAGTACAGCATCACTTCATGCTTAGCCATTAGTTCATTCCATAGCGTCAGCCGTATTTCTGTTCTCTCATTTTCAGACAGACCAAACCACAGTTTGTTTATAATATTCTGAAACCAATAGTAGTATTAAGTCTTTATATTATATTATATTATTATTGAAAAATCCAAATTGTTTATTTTTGGTAAGTGCAAACAAAACAATAAGTTAACAAGCAACATGGCAACATATTTTTGGAATACATAACAAAATACTATAGATATAAATAGAATAAAATAGACTAATGACCTAGTTAACAGTGTTTACAATTTCTTACCTCCAAAGTAGTTAAAATAAACATTTGCACATATTGGTTCTGAGACTTTTGGAGAAATAACAAGCAATGTTTCCAAGAACCCCTACCATTGGAAAAATTTTCAAGCATGCTCTCTATTTCTCTTTTCCGAAAATTATTTGTAGATGGTGCAAAAAACTCACACATCAACATCTCTAATGAGGCCAATGCCTCATCAACCCCGAAATTATCCTGCAATTATTATATTGAGGAATTAGAAACATCGTATTTGTTAATTACAAATAATTTTACAATAAATTGTTTTTCACATACTTACCATGATTATATGTGTATGTATTCAAATTATAAATCACATATTTATACAGACTACTTATTAGTTTTAGAAAGTAACTGTTATAATTATAATTTCCTTTTCCTTTTAGAGAGTATTTCTCAAAATAATAAATGTAGTTGAGAAATCAAAAGCAAACCGAAGTAACCTGACATATTTTTTTATTTTTTTTTTTTACATTGACACAAATATGACAGATTACTAACTCGTGTTGCCTGTTGCCAATTTTTTTAATTTTTAAAAGTGAGGCAAGTCGTTTTTTTTTCACATTGAGGAAAAAGTCTTTATTCTTCGAAAATAACCAATTAAAAAAAAACTCATCAAAGAAAGATGTGCTAGCAAATCGAATTATCGTTTTTTCAAAATATATTACTTTAGTATAAATTTTATGGGATAACAAGTATAAGCGGTAAAATTACTTGTCAAAAGTAGAATTAAAAATATAAAATGTCACTATCATTTGACATATTGTATTGATTATTTATTGATTCATGTTTGTAATATTTAGTTAATTATTGAATGAATAACGTAACTCGAATCATAATTTAATTAAAAACAATGGAGTCAGAGCCAGTACAGTCTTCTGAGTTGCAAGCTATGACTGAAGATACAACCAAAACTTCCAACGAACAAGAACTTCCACAATCGACGATTCCTCCAATAAACACTGAAAACGAGCCAGAGACTGGATCAAATGTTGCTGTTGTTAAAGATCCCCAAAAACCGTCCCCTAAAAAGCCTAAAAAACGTAAACCTAAGGTTCCTCGTGATGTAACAGCACCGAGGCAGCCGCTTACAGGTAACCAAATTAAGGAAATGTAATGTTTTTTTTATATTTCAAACATAGCTGAGGCCAGTAATTGTTAAATGTTTATCTGTAAAAAATGTGGAAATGATAAAAAGCCAAAGCTTAATGTTGCAGGGTATGTAAGGTTTCTAAATGAGCGCAGGGATCAATTGAGAGCTGAACAACCAGAACTGGGTTTTGCAGAGCTGACGAGACAGTTGGCTAGTGAATGGAGTAAATTACCCACAGAGGAGAAACAACATTACCTTGATGCTGCAGATCAGGATAAAGAAAGGTAAGATTTCAAAAAAGGTGTTTTAATAAAACATAAGATGTAAAAATTAAAAATCTTCCCTCCTTTTCTAGATATATCAAAGAATGGGCCGAATATAAGAAAACAGATGCATATAAAGAATTCCATAAACAGCAAATGGAACAAAAAGATCCTGTGATTGCTACTAAAAAAATTAAAAACAATCTGCCTACTGAACCAACCCAACAGAATGTACCTACAGGTAGAGTATAAAAAAAGATATAGTAACTAGGAGATAGAGTACTTTTTTCAAGTTTGAAATAATTTTATAGGAGCACCTCAACCTGCTGTTGAACTAACTGCACCACCACAAAATATTCCTGTTGTTCAAACAAGACAGCCAACTCCACCACGGCCTAGACCATGCATTACTCCTGCAATGGTAAGTTCGAGCTTAGTTCTAGAATTAAAATAATTTTCTGTATTTTCTAATTTCCTGCTTTAGATAACTTTTACTTATAATTTTCGGTTAAAGTTTACAGACAAAAATAATTTATGTTTCAATTTAAAAAAATAATATTTTTTCAAAGGTAGATGATTTGAATGCTGGTGATACAGATATACCTATATTTACGGATCAATTTCTTCAACACAATAAACTGAGGGAATCAGAACTGAGGCAGCTGAGGAAAGCAAACTCTGATTATGAACAACAGGTGAGCATTGTCATACTGGTCTAATGTACCTCAGTTGTAAATGTTGTCTTGATAACTTTCTCACTTCATAATGTTATACTTGATTTCATTTAGTGGACCTTAGTCAGGCAAATACTTAGATATTGGTTTGAATTTGTAGTGAATTGAATTATATTTTTAAATAACAAATAACATAGCATTGTTGGCATAGTTGTTAAGTGTTTTACTAACACAGTCCATCTTACTAATATTATAAATGCAAAAGTTTAGATGGATGGATGGATGTTTGTTAGCGTTTGTAGCCTAAACGGCTGAACGGAACTCCATGAAATTTAGCACAGGTTTAGAGCATAGTCTGGAAGAACACATAGGCTACTTTTTATCCCGGGAATAGTTACGATTCCCATGGGATTAATTTATTTAGTTTTTTAATGTTCACTTGATCATTCTGCAACGGTCCAACATATCTTATTGAAATTTGGCACATATATAAAACAAAGTCTGGAGTACATATGAAATAAGCTTCATCCCAGAGAAATGTCCGGTTCCCGAGGGATATGTAGCTTTTTGTAATTTATATAGTTCGTATGTTTTCTAATACCACGCGGACGAAGTCGCGGGCAACAGCTCGTAATCTATATATCCAGGGTTAATACCTGCATTATTCAAATCTTTTATGTATATTTATTTGATGTTTTTATAGTAAAATAATATATTCTAATGCCACTTGTCTGCAAAGAAATTAAAAGATTTGTGTAAACTCAACAACCCTGGGCCAGAATGGTTAACTATAGTCGAGGGACTGCTAATTTAAAGTAGATTTTGAACCATCCAGGGACATCTGATGGGAACTTAATGTTTAATTACACTTATATTGTGTACATTTTGATTATTGGCATGAAAAACAGCAAAAATTAAACCAGTTAATTCACCTGCTTTGTAAAATCCTCTAGAATGCAATACTTCAAAGACACGCCGAGGAAGTGAGCGCGGCGACGACGCGATTGCGCGCGGAGACCACAGCGGCGGCGGAGCGCACAGCGGCTCTGGTTGCGCATCGGCGGGCCCTCGTCGCAGCCCTTGTGCATGCGTTGCACTCACTCGCACTACCTCTACCAAGTACTAAAATCTATTTCAATAAGTTATCATTGATGTCTTTTTGGTAAAAATTAATATCATGTCAACATAGAACAAAAAATGATTTCATATGCATTTGTGTTAACTTAATAGAAACAAAGGAAGGACAGTTAGACTATTATTTTTCATATTGAATGCTTTTAACACCTAAGTCTTTGCCCCCTTGGTTGTCCTTTTTTTTGTATTCTTAATATTTCTAATGTTTTACAGATGGTGCAAGTGGTGCAACAGAAGCGAATATTGAAGAATACATGGATAAATTGCATGCTTTAGTGACAGAAAATAAGAATAATCCAATTGTAAAACAAGCTCGTGATATATTAACTAGAGTGGATCTGCCAATTACATAAGTGTATTTTGACTTAAATAAATAAAATTGCTTTCAAAAAATTGTTTTTTTTTTTATTTTCAATGTATTTATATTAATAAAATACTTTCTATAACGCAATATATAATATAAAATTAGATGGATGAAAAATAAAATAAAACAGAGGTATTTGACACTTTATTTACGCAAATATACTTAACCTACTTAAATCTTCAAATAATACATTTTCTACTAAAACAACTCTAGTAAATCTTAACCACTTTGTAATATTCTTTATTGAGAATTTCTAGATCCATATTTTGTTCAAATATACTGTAAATGTTGCCTCCTCCCATTAAGTAAATGTGAATCAATGAGATAATTTAAAATAATATAACTTTTCAGACATAAAATATTAATTATTTGCAGTTATTATCTTTTAACAAGTAGAAGTATATTTTATTTACTGCTTCCTCTAAGAAAATACTAGAGTGTATATATTGATTATTGACCCTTATTACAATAATGATTAAGCCACTAACATAGTTATAACACAAAACTTTGTATACCAGAGTTGGGATGTGTTTCCCAGACCCAAAATTTAATGTCAATTAATATAAGAAAAAATCTTGCTATAATTGTTGTCCCACAAATAAAATTATATAAAAACGTTACATAGTATTTTCAGTACTGTAACATCACAAAATATTTCTTTAGTATCATAAGGTGGCTAGTAAGTAGCCACCTAAATCACCGAAGTGGCGAAGTGACCACTTCCCAAAGACATCTGTAAAAGTTGATGCATTGCTTACCTTTATCTAAACTGATATATAGCTATACGATTATAATAAAGCATAAACATGCACTTTGTTTTGTATGTTGTCAGCCATCACAGTATTTTTAGTAAAACTCCTTGCACTTATGACACACTATAGACAATATATTGTCACACTACTTAGGAGAATATTGGAAAGGATTGTCATGCAAAAAAGGCATAAAAACTACAAGCCAATGGCAGCAAAGAAGCAACATTGTTTGGAAACAGTAATTGTTAGCCAATATCTTCATTGTTGTTTATCCATTTATATTTTGACATTGAGTATGGAATGGAATGTATATAATAACATAAAAATTTTATAAAACTGTTAACAAACATCCTAATAGTGAGTATCCACTGCAAATAACCTGTACAAACTTTTTATCAACCCTTTCATTCTTTGAAAAATAAGAAACAGAGAAAATTGCTTTTTTTTTTTGTTAAAAATAAAAAGATGTTTCTTGATTTCTTTGAAAATTAAGTTAATGTTTGCGCAGAACATAAATGCAAGTTTGCAAAAGGCATTGAACAGCACTTAGCTCAAAGTCAAAGGTTTTAGACATTTTAAAATGAAAAGCCTGATACAGATGTTTTGGGAGTGGAAATAAAATCATGACATTATCAAATTTCAATCAGATTCAAAATCATATTCACATTTAATTGATTCAATTTCTTCTGTGTTGCTGGTTGCATTTGGATCATACTTGTGTAATTTAATCCTCCATAATTTAATCTGTGCATCCCATGACCTACGACTGTATTTTGTATATTTATCTGGTGTTTTTGGATCATCTTTTCCACGTGTTTCTCTGAAATTCAAATATAGATTAAAAAATCAATTCATGCATCAACACAATCATAATTTACTTGCATTTACAATCATAATATCCAAATACACTTACAGGGGCACTTCTTTAATATAGTTATGATAACCAACTGTATTCTTTCCATAATCAATTTGTTTTTGCCGTCTCTGGAGTACAGTTGAATCGGTTTCTACATCAGTAGTTTTTCCAGTTTTACTATAAAAATTTGTATGGTTAGTGACTTTTTATTAGTTTTATATTGAACATTGTGTTGAATATTGGTTGTAAAAATAAAATACGATACAAACCTAGGCTTGCCATCTTCGCTTTTGCTGTTTGGTTTAAACCGTTTTTTAACAGTTAAATTTTCTGAACTATCCTCAGACATTTTACCTTTCGTCGCTTTACGAACTGAAAATAGTAAAGAAGTTAGGGATTCTACCTGGTGTAAATTACATATTTATAAAACAAGCTTTAGACGTACCAAACGAATTAGGTTCAAAGTTATCTTGTCTTACATTTTGTGAGCTCATTATATTTATCAAGGATATTTATTACATTTTAGGAAATACTACACAAATACGACATTAATGTGTCTATAAGCTTAATTGAGCTTGTTAATAAAACATAGTATTTAGGAATTATTCGAAATGTTACGGAAAAGCATGTTCAGCGTTCCACAAACAACGCGCGAAATTTTGTTATTTTGACATTTGTCTTGACAGATGACAGCATCAAATTCATTAACAAAGAGCGTAAATTAAATAGAAGAGACAATGACATTTATTTATAAACTAGCTGTTGTCCACGACTTCGTCCGTGTGCAGTTTAGAAGTTCAAAACTTACGTTCGTTCTTTTTTTCAACCTGTTACCTAAAGTATTAACTTAGTAGTAATCTACATAATAACAGATATCTACTGATGCAAGATTCCAAATTTCTAAGCCGGGTAGTTTGTGCGTTGATTTTTCGGTTACATCTTCTAAAGTATTACTCCAATTTAGATAGTGCAAAGGACAATTTTGTTCTATATTAAATTCTCCCGATACTAAACGCTTTTATTTTGATAAGGATTAATATTGAAACCAATAAAACAACGACGAAAATAGCGTACGGTTTTTAATTCAATATGTGAAGAAAAAAAGTGATTAGAGTAAGAAAACCGTTAAAGATAGATATATGCCATCGCGGACTTTTCTGTAGAACTTTTTGAGATCTACAATACTTTGATACCTTTTTATAAACCTCCAACTGTTTAAGCAGCCTAAGCTCAGAAAAGTTAAAATTTTGTGATTTCTTAACATCGGGGTCCAGAAATGTTACGTTTATTAATAGTTCCTCAACGTTAGTAATAAAATATAGCCTATGTTACTCACAGATAAAATACCTTTCTAATGGTGAAAAAGGTTTTAAAATCGGCCCAGTAGTTTTTGCCGGAATCAAATACATAAAAAAATCCAAAATTTCTTGTTTATAATATAAGTAAATAAGTCGAATATTCCTGTATTTATACTTACCAGAATTATTTTATGTATACAAATAAATTAGGGTATAAGAAAACAATGATTACTTCCAATTATTCTTAATATATTGCAATATTTGATGTATACCCTCCTTTCCAGCACTGCCATTAAGATATTCCATTTCAAGTACTACTGTTTTTGCTTTATTACTAACTTTAAGAATTCCCTCCAATATTGCCTTTTCAGTGTATCTATTAGTTGCAGTGTCCATATTATCTAGCAATGCTATTCCACAAGCTGCTTCTATATCCATGGTTTCGTCATGTACATTTAGTTTTTCATCAATGGTTAAATCTGAAGTACTTGTTTCACATTCTTCTTGATTTTCTAATTTTTGCTTTTTAGACACATTTCCTTCTAATTTCTTTAACAGTCTCCTTTTACGTCTTTGATTTGTCCATGTGTTTGTTTTTGCATTAAAGTTTAGTACCGATTCATTTCGCCTTTTCGTAATAATTTTGTATTGAATTTTCAGGCCTTCAAACAACTGTTGAATTTTTTCAGTAGTATGTTCTACATCATAAGGTAGATTTGGTATTTCAGGCATAACAAATGTTATTGGAGTACTTTTTTTCCTAGGCTTGTCTCTTGGCGGTACTGAAAAAATATTTCTTCTTGATTAACAAATATGAATCTCTCAAATTAATTTCATAGTAGTGAAACAAAACAGCGAATAACAAACACCAACAAGTCAATTATTTATTTAGCGTTTATTTTTGTATGTAAAACCAATTTTAAGAATACTGTAGTGTATATGTGGGTATGCCAATAATAATGTATTGTCAGTATTACTAATAGTAAAACAGTCCAGTACCAACCGCCGTTTCATTAACACACCAACATTACAAATACATTTTTAATTTTCAAACAACAATGTTCTAATTAGTAGTTTTAAAGAATACTCTTACCTAAATTGTATAGATCATAGTCTTGATAAGTCCAAGCTATACCCCAACGTGTAACACGGCCTTGGCAAAATTCTGTAGTTGTATGTTTAATTCCCTCAGCTTTAAGATCCAGCAAAAGTTCTTTCATATTGTATTTGTGTCCAATCATTGTGGTAAATATACTATAAGAAATATATAAAATAGCATTTACAGTTTATTTTAGTATTACCAAATGTAAAAGTGAATAACATTTTGAAATAAAACACCAAGTAAAGTGAAACATCATTCTTACAGAATATGATTTTTGTATTTGGCACTTTCTTTGATCAACTTTCTACAGAATTCCAACTCTCCACCTTCAGTAATCAGCTCTTGGGGTGATCCGGTAAATGCATTTTTAGGAGGTGGTCTATAACAATAACATGTTTTATGATCATACATTCACTAGAAGACAGAAATACAGAAATTAACAATTTCCAGTAATATAGTGGAAATTGTTCACAATACATAATTATTAGTTAAGAATGATATTTGAGTCAAGTACCCTCAGGTTATCCAATATGAAAATTCATGCAGAGAAAACCATTTTACTAATATGGCCTTGTGGCAAAAAAAACCACACTTGTGTGTGAAATAGTAGCTGCATACTATAAGATATTCAATTACTGAAAGTTTGGTGGATACATTTAATTAATTGGTGCTTACCTAGCAGGACTTCGTGATTCCAGAACCTCTTGTACATTGCTATAAAATGGAGGATTGCACATACAAAAGTCAAATCTTAGATCATTGTCTTCAAGAAACAAATATTCAACCAGCGATGCAGTTGTATTTTTCTTTACTGTAATTTATAATTTTGAACTGAAATAATCTTTTTATTAATCTATTAAGATGTATTATGAGATTATATATAACATTCTTACAAGTATTAGACATTTAGTTAATTTTCACTATTTTACATACATTTAATTAGACATTGTAAGTCATTTCTTTCAACATTGTCTAAGGCCATTTTTATACTATCCTCATCCTTTTCCGTGCCAACCATATGCCATTTGTTTTTCTTAGCTGCTAGTAATGGGTATATAGCACAAGCTCCTGTACCTGAAGTGTATTAAACAAACAAGTAAAACAAATTTCCTTAAGTTAATCAATCTAACTAAATACGTACATATACTTTAATTTAGTACTGAAAACACTTGTCATATTGATAAAAAGATAGTTATTTTTTACATACCTATGTCTAAACCCGAAGGATGTTCCTTGTGAATGGATATCATTAAATCTTCAACCCATAAAATATAATTAAGTCGCAGTGGAAGTGTCGGCACCAATCTATCTTCCGGTATAATAACATCCAAATCAAAGTCAGATTTCAATAAGCACTTAGTCAAGATTCTTAACGCCCGCGTATCTTTAAAGTCAATGCTAACTTTACCTGTAACATCCTGAAGAAATGAAAATAATTATTACAAGGAAACTGTAATATTAAACTCATGTTGTAAAAGATTTTTGCACCATTTTAGCAATTGTCGAGAAATCTTCAAAGTCTTTGAATAATTTAACAAAATCTGGGGGTGTTCTGTACGTATTTCTTGGGTGCATGAACTTATTTAATGCCATTTTTTATAACTTTGTGGATACTCGTTTATTATAATTGTTTAAACGCCTTAATTTTCAAGCAAAATCTTAAACAAATTGAAATATTTCAATCGTTTGGTTTTATTTGACATTGACATCGTAACGAACACAAAACAAAACAAGCAGACATGGCAAAGAGTACGCTAGATTTTGTTTGTTAGTAAAATGGCTGACTAGTAGAGAGAGGTGTTTAAATTTAATTTTCTTTTATCTACTTATTAAATCTGCAATATTTTTCTCAACTGGGAAAACTAAATCTGTTGAATTACTTTCCCATCCTTTACCTACTCTTTGAGTTGTTTCTTCAGTTTCCTCTTCTCTTCTAGTCTTTGTTTCCTTTTAGCCACCATTTTGTCGTTAAGAGAGGGACGAGTTGGCTGTTCTTTTGTTTTAACAATCTTGATTATTTTCAATAAAAAGTACATTTATAATTACAAGTGTCCATAATACATAATTATTAAAATGGTTGATAGAATTGATATGGCTTTGGACGACATAATAAAAGCAAATAAAAAAGGCAGAGGAGGTGGCGGAGCAGGCCGAAAATTTGAAGTGAAAAAACCAGGTCGTGGTGCAGGAGGTAGTTTTCGAAGTAATCGCGCCGGAGGTGTTTTACGAGGCAGAAATCGTGGAGGAGTAACCAAGTCAACTAATTACACAAGGGTAAATGAAAATACTTGACGGTCTTGAAATTGCAAATGGCGGACAAATGTGGAAAATGGCGCGTCGAATGCATGGCGTATTTATCATCTAGCAACGTAAAGCTGGAAACTTGCGGCAACTGCATACAATTTTGCCCTCCTTAATGTCGTTTTAACTAAGTCGAATTTGTTGTTGAACTAGTTCGTCAAATATAAATATTTCCGCTGTAATATTTTAGTTGAATGTGTACGGTATTCTAATTTTATTAGCGTACGTTATACATGTAGTAGATCCTTGAACTATCCTGGATCTTACACTGCACGATAATAAAGAACCCTGTTGTGTGATTTCAATGAATCTTTGGAGGTGCCAAACGACTTCACCTGAAAGCTATATGAAATCCTTCTGAAAGATGTTAAGAAAATGGAGTTTTCAACATCTACTCTTGTTTGGAGCACTTTGCTTCAAATTGCAGTCACCATGGACAACTAACACGGGTGTGATCGTGTTACTTCACGTGTGGGACATCATGTGTTCAAAAATTGCAGTACTAGTGTTTGTGTGAAAGTGATAGTCCTTACAAGCAAAGCAATATTGCGTTGTTTGTACCACATATGTCTTATATTTTATTCTTGCCATGCTGTAATTCTGTAACTTTATTGATTAGGACATGTACAACTAATGTTTGCCATGTAATTTGAGTGTATATACTCAGAGGCATCAGGTGGCCAGTTGGCATGATCTATGAAGGAAAAACTATTTCAGGGTGATGTAAACAGCACTTGGAAACATGATATGTTCAATGACATCAATGAAAGGAAGATTCAGAGGAATGCACCTCTGACCACAGGCCCCACAAAACTTTTAGTTTCAAATTTGGATTTTGGGGTCTCAGACTCTGATATTCAAGAACTATTCTCAGAATTTGGCATTCTCAAAAGTGCCGCTGTACACTATGACAGATCTGGTAGATCATTAGGTAAGCATAACTTTTGGTCAATATGTCTTTATTTCTTCTCAATTAATGGTTGTACAATAAAAGTAACAAATCCCCAGCAAATCAACAACAGTAATCACTGTTTTCTTCTGTTTTTTTAATATGTTTTTTGTACAGGTACTGCTGATGTGGTGTTTGAAAGAAGAGCTGATGCGTTGAAGGCAATGAAACAGTATAATGGGGTCCCACTTGATGGCCGCGCCATGAACATACAGTTGGCCACATCGGAAATCACAACATTTAGAACTGAAGAAAGAAGTAGACCTGTAGGGGGTGTGGGAGGTGGTGCACCACCTAGACGCAATATAAACAGGGGTTGGTATTTTTTCTTTCTTAAAAAGTAGTTTACAAGGCATGTTGCAGTTGCTACACTTAAAATTTGACTGATCCAACTGATATTTCAACTATCAACTTGCTTTATGGCATATTTTTGTAGTTATATTATTTATATCATAGTATTTATTATAGTTATGCTATGATTAATGTAGCCCATATTGAATTTGTATTGAACATTGTTGTATTTGACATGTTTAAGGTGGTGGTGCCAATCGCAGTCCAGGAGGGCAGCGAGGTGGCGCAAGACGCGGTGGCCGTGGTGGGGGCACAGGCGGTGGAGCACCGCGAGGCAAGAAACCTGTACCGACAATTGAACAACTTGATGCTGAATTAGATGCCTATGTCAAAGAAATCAAGTGACATTTGTTTTTAGAATAATTAGATTATTTTGTGAAAAAATATATGTGATTAGTTCTTACAAATAAGTGACGAAGATTTAATTTTTTTATTCAAAACTTGTCTGACACTCTAAGCAAAAGCAGAAAATGGTAAATGAAAATAAAATGTTGACCTACAAAATATTTCTCTTATTTAACCTTTTTTTATATTGTAAGGTGGCAAATGAGCAAGTGGCTATCTGAATCTGCTAAAATAGCTTAACAATCACTGCCCATGTCTGGATGGCTTTCTGCAATTGTAGATGTGTTCCCCATCCTGAAATGATGGAGGAGGAGACTCACATAAAAAGGATATTTTCCCTTCCTGTGTGTCTCCACTGTTAAATCCACTTTCCCTTCCCATCCCTTTCTCAGAATAAAAGGTTGGAAAGGGGCGAAAACGAAACGCGGAATTGTTTCTACTTCACGCTTGTCTTCTGTGTGGTCGTGGTATTCCACTGTGCGAGCTGGCTCATTGGTGTGAAGATATTAAAGCAGACTTTAGCACTGTTGACCTACTTTGACACTTAGAGGATGTCTTGAGCAAGTGACTTATCCGATACTAATCTGCATAAAATCGCAGTGTCTGTAATATCAATTGAAAAATTCCACGTTTAGAGAAGTTATGATGTTTTTGCATTGTTTGATCTCATTACGTCAGAAAAATTGAGATTAAACATTTTTATCCTGGTAACTTTTGCCACGAGAATTGAGTTTGGCAGATGTCACACCGAACTTATTCTTTGTTATAAGTCCCGACTCTTACCTATATGCTCTTGAATAAGTGTAATCTTTCTAGAGAAATCTAATACAACTTATAAAACACTAGTATCGTAAGCCGGCAAGCCGTGAAAATGAATTCAGGTTTGTGTTTGTATCTAAACGTTTTCAAGCGTTTAAAACTTTGGTTTAAAATATTGATATAGAATAAATAAACAAGATATGAACTTTAAAAAGAAATTCTTCTTTACATTTTTCGTCAAACCAAGACTTTAGAGTTTGAAGTGAAATAAAATTTGAAATGGTTCTAAAATTGCAAAGTACAAACGCTACAAATGTAGAGTCAACTTTACAACGTTTTTCTAGTTTTTAAATAAAACTGATGTTTAAAATGTAGTAACAAGTAAAGTAACATATAGAATTTTTTATCAACAAGCAATATTCCATTTAAGACTTTCACTTTTTGCAGACCCTACATCAGATGATGATTCCAGCAGCGATGTCAGCTCAATACCTGCAAAACGTGCAAGGGCTGATACTTATGGAGCATCATCCACCACATCACATGGTTCAAGTGAGATTCTTCTGAGTTTTAGAATGTTCCACTGCAAAGTAGCTTCAAAATAAATTTTAAATAAATCCTTCATCTTCTTACTTAAATTCTTTCAGTTCTACCAGATTCTGATGATGATGATGATGATGATGAAACTCCAGATTCATATGATCATTCTCAAGCTACTGGAAAGGAACATATGAAAATGAATTTAAACCACACAGCAGAGCAGAGCCCAGAAGGCAATTTAAGATTAAGTAGGAGCAGCTTGAGTGAGAATTGTTCATCTCCTAATGATGATTATAGACCTGGATTTGATAGTGTTGATACTGATAATGAGAATGCTGATGGAAGGCCAAGTTTTCAAAGTTCCAATGAAAATGCTTTCTATAACAAAAATTCTGAACATTCAGAAATGATTGATAGTGGACCATACTCGGAGAAGTCAAAACGGATGATGAGCAATATGGGTTTCAAACCTGGTAAAGGTTTAGGTAAATTTGAACATGGTAGAGTGGAGCCCATAGAGGCATCAACTCAAAAGGGTAAAAGAGGTCTGGGTTTTCAAGCCTCAGCTGTTGGAGAAGCACCTAAAGATTTTAAATGGTCACCTGATACTGCTCCCCCTCCTACAGCTGCGGAAGAAGTAGTAAGTCTTTAATTCACAACTTAAGTTAAAGTTGAGAAGTAGCTTTTTTTTTAAATTTCACAATTCTAGCTTTGGATGCCATCATCGCTATCTGAGCCCCTTTCTGGTGCTGACTTACAAGAATGGTTACAAATTGGTCCCAAAAAGTTGACAATTGAAGATGAAACAAATTTTGTAGATCCGGGCATCTTGCAAGGCATTTTGAAATCTAAGGTATAATTTATATCCATTTATTTTGTCATCATATTTGTTAATTAATAATTTTGCCATTGTAACTAATTGGAAATTTCAGACTATTTTTGATACCTTGGATGACGAAGATTTTAGACATGCACGTTTCCGTAGTAATCCATATGAAACGATAGGCGCCGTAATCTTTTTGAACCGCGCTGCTGTTAAGATGGCCAACATGGATGCGGTATTTGATTTCATGTTCACAAAACCAACAAAACAGACAGGTGAACCAGCAGTTGGCAACAATGATTTGCTGTATTTTGCTGATGTTTGTGCCGGTCCTGGAGGTTTCTCTGAGTATGTTTTGTACCGAAAAGGCTGGCGCGCAAAAGGTAGCATCTTTTTTGCATTGCATAAAATGAACATGTATACAATATATATAAACTAATATAATACCATATAGTATATAATGCCATGAGATGTCTCTTAAACAGTACATAGGCACATGTTTTTTTTTTTTAACAAAAAGATACAAGGAGAATTTATTGTTATGACATATCTTGGGATTGAGATGCAGATTATTATTTAGTGTCTATGATCATAATGCAATGCATGTTGATTTATAAGACTGGGAAAAAAAATTGTAACAAAAAATAAAATGTGAATATTGTTTTGCAAAGGTCCGTGGCATCAGTGATGAACCAAATAATGTACCATGTGATTGTGTGTAAGTCTTATATGTAGTAAGACATTTTAGTTTTTAGAAACAAAGCAAATCTATTTAACATGTTGAATATAATATAAATTAGATATATAAGGGATAATTGTACTGTAAACTATTCATAGATTTTTCAAACATTTAAATTCAATATGTTGTCAGTTTTGAAATCACTTAATATAAATAGGTTGTAAAATGAGACCAGAGAAAATGGCTAATAGATATGTTTTGAACAATTTCATTAATCATAACTTTTAGATTTTTTATTTAAAATTAGTAACAACCAAAGTTGATATTGCTGGTCATTACTTCATTATTTGGTGGTTTTATCATAAGTTTTCATTGCCTAAGACACCCATATTTTTTTTTTTTCAATAAAATTTCCTTATTGTTTTGTTAAATATAATGTTTTGGCGATAAGAACTCTTGGTAAATATGTCATAAGGTTGTTGATGTACATCAGATTATGTTTTGATGGAAATACTTCAGTGGACCATTCAGTAGTTAAACAAGTCCAAGTATATTCTGATAGTAATTTTTTTTTAAATCATTTTTTTTCAAATTATCTGTGTTTTAGGATTCGGGTTTACGTTAAAAGGTCAGAATGATTTTAAACTTTCGGATTTTTACGCCGGTACATCTGAGACGTTCAATCCTTATTATGGCGTTAAAGAGGACGGTAATGTTTTCGATCCAGCTAATCTCACGTCCCTGAAAGATTTTGTCCTGAGCCAAACGGATGACCAAGGCGTACATTTTCTTATGGCTGATGGTGTAAGTCAAGGTTTTTTGTAATAAAACATTTTTTAAATAACTTCAGACAGACCATCTAATTTTGGACCCAGTGTTGGATTTATGCTCATTCCATTGTTACTTTTTGTAGTCTAATGGCTTCACGGATTTTAAAGAATGAGATATCATTTGATTTGAATTTTTCTCAGTCAAATTTGATGATTCTTTAAAAATCATATGATGCTTATAACATTTTCCAGGGATTTTCAGTAGAAGGTCAAGAGAACATACAGGAGATACTCTCTAAGCAACTCTACTTGTGCCAATGCCTAGCCGCATTGATGCTCGTCCGTACTGGCGGTAATTTTGTGGTGAAATTGTTCGATGTGTTTACACTATTCAGCGTTAGCCTTATTTACATGATGTACAGATGTTTTGAAAAAGGTAAAAAAAAAATTATATTTCGACTTTTAGTTATACTATCAAGTTTCATATGTTTTATTTTTTTTTATTCACAAATAAATTACCACAAGCTAAGTTACTACTGTTGCAATTATTTCAACAAGGTTTTCACATAAATAAATTATTTTAGTGTCTATTCACAAGCCGGTTACTTCAAGGCCTGCTAATTCGGAGAGATATTTGGTGTGTAAGTGGAAGAGGCTGGGCACAGAGTCAGTGGAGCAACATCTGTTCTCAGTGAACTCTAAACTGTGGCGGGGAATGGACAAGGAGAGTGATATCACCTCGCTCGTGCCCCTCACGGTGCTACAGGAAGACACGGACTTCTGTCAATACATTTACAAAAGCAACTGCATGTCCGTACTTCATACAAGTAACTCCTTTCCTTTATATTTATGTAGACTTTGTTATATTCCAAGGATTATTCGTGTTTTCAATTGTTATTATAGACTGTATTCTTGTAATCGATGCTAATATTTTAAAGAGAAAAGATCTGTATTTTTGTATTATTGAATAAACTCAAAAACTACTGGCCCAATACCAAAAGTTCTCATATCATTGAAAAACTACGGTTTTAGTATCAGTGACTAACATACACTATATTTATTGTTATTATTTAATTTCACGCAGATGAAGTCGCAATCAATTTTTATATATAGTGACTCATTGTTGTTTTATTGACAGACTTGGTAAAAACCAAATTGAAAACCTGCTCAAAATCGCTGCATTCAGCAAAGATAAAAATTTAGTGGAACAAAGCCAAGCGACTATGAGAACAGAATGTTTGAGCTTGTGGCAAGTAAGTTTCTATAAAGTGTTTTTATAATTTCTCTGACAATTTTTTTTAAGTATTTATAAATTGAATAGTAATACATAGCATCTATTAAATTAGTGAACTGGTTTATGTAATGTTACTTAATATTATAAATTCGTAAGCTTGGACGGATGTTTGTTAGTGTTTGTAGAGGTTACTCCAGAATAATACATAGGCTATTTATTTTTATTGTAATTTCACGCGGTCTGATTTCACTATTTTTAGTTGCCGGATAAAGTGAGGACTCAGCCAGAGAGATTGAACCCCGATGAGACAATGACGAGAATACTGAGTGGCATGGACAAGCGCACGTCGGACGCACACAACGCGCATTCCTTCAAAACCGTGGTGTTTTCCAAACAGCCGGCGTACCTGGAGAAGATCTCCGATTTAGGAATATTGAGGAATGTCTATGACTGGCATTTCACAGTTTTGAGCAGCGGAAAAAACAGTAACGACACCAAAATGTTTTTAGGTGATTTTTTTCGGTTTTATGTAATTTCGCTTTTCGTTGTTATGTAAGCTTCGATATATTTAATTATTTTAAATAAAACGCTTTTTGTTTTTCTTTGGCTTTCTGAAGTTGAAAGTGATATTTAAATATTCACTAAAATATTTCTTTTCTTAATTTTAGGCTGTGGAGGTAAACGGGTATTTCAATTGGATAAAACAGGTTGGAGAAATCTTGGTGATTTGCAGACCTGTATAACTTTACCTCCGAAAACACTTTTTTATGGTGAGGTGAGATGGTCTGCATTGTATTAAACTATATTTATTCAATCAAATAAAATAATTGATAAAAATATTGTATCGTCTCAACATAGGTGGGAACAGAACAGGGCGATAATGAAACTAATCTAGTTACAACATTTATTTTTGCTTAAAAATAATTGCAATTGATATATATTTTTTTAGCTTGTGAAGGAGTACTGTGGACAAGGACTTAATCAATATTTCAATAAAGCAATTCATGTTATTGACGCTTTGATGCTTGGTGGTATTGACATTTCACATATGTCATTAACGGACAGGTATGTATTGTGACCATTGAGGATAAATAAATAAATGGACTTATGTTGCCACAAAAAAAACTACATAGACATACATAAAACCCTAGAGCTAGTAAAAAAAAAGAAATGTAGCAAAAGGTGGCCAGCTCAGCTAATGCAGGGACGGCACTGGCAGTTACTGCGCTGGTTTTCAGCTGGCCCCTTTACACAAATATTAACACATCAATAGAGTGACAACATAGACAAAAATAAAAATATAAATAGATAATACATTAAGGTATTTCTTCTTTAAAGACGACAATTTCTTTTTTAAAGACTAGGTAATAATTTTAAAAGATACTTTTAAATAGAAAAAAAATAACATACAGGTTCAAACTTAAATTATAATTGAGTGTGCATACCAAACTGCTACATAGTAGTTAATAAGTGAGGTGATAAATCAAAGTAATAGCATAGTGACTGGTCTTATTTATTTCAAAACTTGATTTGTAATTCCAAAAGAAATCTTTTACACTTTTTTGTATTACATCCAATATGAAGTTAATGGTTCAGGTCAACTAAGTATTAAATGTTGCATAATTTTATGTTTTTAGAATAAATCAATGTAATTTATTCTGCACTGCTATAGAAAAGCATTCTGGGGATTTGGAAAAGCATTCTAGCGATGTAGCACTGCGGTGTAAGCGATTCTTTAATATGGAAAACTTTTCATCAGCTGTGTGCAATTTGGAATATAGGACTATGAAAAGAGGAATGAAAGTTGTCTCAACCAAGGTACCAATGAGAATTAGTGGCAAAGAGAAATACTTTGTCGTAGGTTCTGTGCTGTTTATGAAAGAGATCAGAGGTGAGCTATGAGACATACAAGTATTAAAAATTGCTAAAACCATGTTTAATAGTCTATACATATACATTTCTATAGATTATCATACATACATAAAACTTTCATCATACTACTAAAGTTAATGTTTTTAGACCCCTGGATCGCTCAAATATCTAAAAGCAGGCAATGTAAGTATTATTACAAAATGGGAAAGGATCGAGTACCAAAGAGCGATTATCATCTGGTAGGTGAGGCATGCTTGGACATGTTATCCGCGTATGCCACTCGAGTCTTGTGGCCTTGGGAAGAAGCTGCCATTCCGATATTCGAAGGACAACCGAAAGTCGGAATTTCAAAGGTTGACATGGAGGAATATATTTCCAAAAATATTACAAGATAATGAACATAAATAGCACATAACTATGAAATAAAATTCAAGCATCGTTTTATTCACTTTTTTTATTAATAACCCAAAATCGAGAATTTTATTCAATTTAAAACATATTGAGCACTGAGCACAGAACACTTTTTCACTTCTGTATTGACTGATATGGAATCGCAGTTTGCTTTTTTGCTATCGTGAATGCTAAGGGAAAGAAGACGAGAACCCTCAACCTGATGTAACAGACTTTATATTGTTAAAATACTTTTTTTCACAAGTAGACAGCTGTTTAAATCTTTTGTCTTAAATTCTTTTGGAGATTTTTTATCTGTTGAATTTTCTAATCTGAGTGTGGTTGACATTTGGACCCATTTATGTGACATACGTCAAAGTCACAACACAACCTTATCGTAATTTCGGCGCGAAGTGGAATTTATATTTTATGTTATTGTTTTAATCCGAATCCAATATAATTGTAATTGTGATCAAAAGTACTGATTTATTGAGGTGTAGTCTCAAAGCTGCAAAATTTCAAGCATAATGACCGTGGGAGAAACAGGAAAAAATTTACCATGGTTAGCACCTATATTATTTAAAAAACCGGCATATATTTTCCACGTAATTTTTTATAATATCTCATCGTCAAATCTCTTTAAACAGGGTAGAAAAGTACAGGCCGTCAAAGTTAGAAGACTTGGTATCACACGATGATATAATAAAGACAAGTAAGTATTTTTTTTTAAACGAAATGGACGATTTGTAGTCATTGATAATAACATAGTTTTTGTTTTCGTTAGTTGGTCAATTTATGAAAGAAAATCAACTGCCACATCTTTTATTTTATGGACCACCGGGTACAGGGAAGACATCAACAATTTTAGCTTGCGCCAGACAAATGTATACCCCACAGCAATTTAATTCTATGGTAAGAAGTTTTTTATTTTACGTAACGTAACGTAATGCAAATCACTAATAAACTACATTTATTAAGGAGTTCCTAATAGCTCATCTTAACTGTTCTAATATGTTGGTATCACTGTAAGTTGACTTAAGGCTATGAATATTGTGGCATTCAAGGTGTTGACATGGTGCGGTAAACACATGTCCATACATGCTTGGTTTTTCTTAAGTTGTTTAAAATGTACCTCTAAATTTCAGGTACTTGAATTAAATGCATCTGATGATAGAGGTATAGGAATTGTAAGAGGACAAATTCTTAGCTTTGCTTCAACAAGAACCATATTCAAGGCGGGTCCCAAGTTAATTATATTAGATGAAGCTGATGCAATGACAAATGATGCACAAAATGCTCTGAGAAGAAGTAAGTTTTTTTCTTTCTTTTCTATTGACATGATTGACATTATATTGAGCATAAGTCTATTTACTCTATTTAGGCTGAGTGGTTGCTATGGATATGATAAATGAAAACATAAAAGAAAGTAATAAGGATTTATTGAATTCTTTAATTATTTTATCTGTTTTGTAAATCAAGTTATATGTTTTTGTGAAATTTATTTCCTTTCATTTGAATTATTAAAATGAAAGTGACCACACAATGTCTGATATTGAGGATGATCAGTTTCACCGCAAGACAGTTAAAATCACAATTCTCGGGGAACCTTTTACTGGAAAAGTAAGTAAATAGTTCTAATTATACCATAAATTTAAGCTTTGTAGAGAAAATGTAGTAGTTTTTGTTTTAGAGCAGTCTATGTCAACGTTATTTGAGTAATAGCCCTCGAGCACCAGGTGGCACAACCCATGGAGCTGAAGTACTTGCTGGACAGTGTCTAGGCCTTCGCCCTCCCGTGCCACTGCATTTGTGTGATGTTGCAGGCAACAGTCTCTCTACTGGAATGCTTCGAAACTACTTGTATGCGTCCGATGTTAGCATTTGAATTGGGTTTTATACTTATTTATTAAGTTATTAAAAATAAAATCAACATCATATTTCGAAACTTTACCTTTATCTCATAAGCATTAACAATTTCAGCTAGTGCTATTTGTTTATGATTTGACAAATTTACAAAGCTTTGAAAAGTTAAATGTATGGATAGAGAAAGTTAAAGAGATTTTTGAACAAGAACCAAAGAAACCTTTAATGGCTTTGTTTGGTAACAAATCGGATTTAGAACATCAGAGAGCTGTTCGATTTTCATGTGTTAAGAAATTTGCTTCAAAGTATTTATTGGAACATTTCAAAGGATCTGCCAGAACTGGAGAAATGGTAAAGATATTATATTATCCAATACTTTGTTATTCTGGTTGTAAAAAACATTAAAAGCATTTTTTCAGGTAAACTATGCATTCACAAATCTAATTGCTCGAGTACTGGGGTTGCCAGTACAAAGTTCTCCAGTAGCAATTCCCTCAAAGTCAGAAAATGAGTTGGAACTACCCAACAGTCCAGCTCAAACGGATGGTGTATCAACATCGCCCTTAATAATGAATAGAAAAACTCTAAGAAAAATACAAAGAAAGGCTTCGTCGTCTGTCTGTTCTGTTCAATGATAATAAATTTTATAATTCGTACAATGGTCATTTTATTATATTTTCGCATAAAATAATTGATTTGTCATCTTTATAGGTGTTTAAAACACCTATATCTTGAACCTTTGGATATTAGTAATTTAAATAATATATTATATATTTAACGGTTATCTATACTATTATTTTATATAATAAAGCGTAAACACACACTTCTTTGTTGCCTAAGATGTTAGCAATAACAGCATATTTTTGAATAATTCTTTTTTAATAAAAAGCCCTATACTTGCGTCACGCTTTACGCTATATATTTTAACGCCATTAAACTTAGGGGGTAAATATTTTGGATAAAAAGCTTAATGTGGGAATAAGACCATAAGTTGCTGCCAACATCAAGGAAGCAAGGTTGTCATCATGCCATGTCATTTTGACATTTATAATTAACTAGCTGTTCCCATGCGCCTTCATCCGTATAAAATTATGAAAATTTTATTTTATTGTTTACATTTGTCAAACTATCAATTAAAATGGATGGATGAAGTCGCACGGGAACAGCTAGTCTATAATAATATCATAAAGAGGAAAACTTTGTTTGATTGTAATGAATACGCTCAAATACTACTGAATCGATTTTAAAAGTTCTTTCACCGTTAGAAAGGTAATTTATATGTGAGTAAGATAATCTATTTTTTTTTTCATTTCTTTATTATTATTTTTAAACTGTACCCGGACGGAGTTGCGGGCAAAAGCTAGTTAAATATATAGAATTAAAAGGGAAAGAATTAAAAATATTTTCAATTACAATTTGTAGTGTTTCGACAAAGTAATAGACATACTTTGAATGTTGTCCTATCTGTCTACTTTTACCACACCATGAATAAACAAGTTTTGTATGTTAAGACAAAATATTACTGATTTTTATCGCAATCGGTTATTATATTGTTGATTGGTTTTCAGTAATAGAGAAGTACACGGACAACGTGCGTTTCTGTATAATCTGCAACTATCTCGGCAAGATAATACCGGCGCTGCAGTCGCGGTGCACTCGCTTCAGGTTCGCGCCGCTGCAGCACGCACAGATCGTACCGAGGCTACGGGATATCGTTGAAAAGGAGAAGTAAACGAATTTACTGTTCTTTTTGCGTCGATGAATTATTTCAGACGGGATATAAATCTCAGTTTTTATCTACGAATATATTTAGTTGTTATGTAAATATTACTTTAGATATTTTACTAATATAATTCTAAAGTTAGAATGGATGGATGTATGTTTTAAACTACCAAAACGGATCAACAGATCTAAAAATTGTCAAAGATTTAAAGCATATTCTGAACGGACACAAGGCTACTTATTGTTTTTTTAATTATCGCGTGGATGGAGGCACGGGGCAAAACTAGTTTTTATACAGCACAATCACAGAGTAAAATGTTTTACAGTGTAAAAATATCAGAGGATGGTATCCAGGCGCTACTGGAGTTGTCTGGGGGCGACATGCGCAAGGTGCTGAACACGCTGCAGAGCACGTGGCTGTCGGCGCGTGACGTCACCGAGGACACCGTCTACACGTGCGTGGGACACCCGCTGCGCGCGGACGTCGACACCGTGCTCACACGGCTCTTGAACGAGGACGACTTCGGGGTATGCTTTAAATGTATCCTTTTTAGAACTAGTCTACACTCACGTTTACTTAGTCCGTTATCGGTACTGTTATGTTTCAAACTCATCAGGGTTCCTTTAGTGTCAACCCAGTCGGTTTAGATTCGCTGTCAAGTTATAACTTCCTCTATTATTCAAAGACTGTTGGACTATATCTTCTTGATGTTCCTTAATACAATAACAGTCATTCAAGATTTGAAAATATTAAAAGGGTTAGCACTTGGCGATATCTTAACAGAGATACATACAAAAATTCAAAGGGGTGAGTAAAATATTATTATAATCATATAACCCAAAAAAAAATATCATATGTAGTTTGTTAATCGTATTATCTCTATGACGCTATTATTACTTCCGTTTTACGAGTGTTTATGTTTAGTGAAATTCCCGCCGGAGGTGCTGATGTCGCTAGTGATCAAGATGGCGGAGAGCGAAGCGCGGCTGGCGAGCGGCTGTAGCGAGCGCATCGAGCTGGCCGCGCTCATCGCCGCCTTCCATCTCGCCAGGCAACAGATAGATATCGATGCCATAGCAAACTCTTGATTGTTTTCACTTAAATCAATAAATGTTTACTTTTTCTTTTGTTTGTTAATTACATTTTCCACTTTCATAGCTATAATCGTTAAAGTTGAAGTGTTGGATGGTTTAAAGTTGACAAAATTTCGATAGTCGGTCGAAGAGTTGGTTTGAACTAGTATTTGGAAAGTTGCAGCTGTACATTGCAAATTAAATATGCGATTTTTTATTTTCGTTTTGATGTGAGGAGATCTTGGGTGCCAACTAAGCAAAAAAAATGTAGAATTACAAATTGAAAAACCCTTTTAGGGTACAATTTTATTTTCTGTTACACCACCATTAGAAACATAATTGTGATATTCATTATAAATGTCGTTCCAAAAATTTAGCCTCCTCCGAATTGTTGGATTAATTTTAATAACAGATGGCTTATCGTTTAGAAGTAACATTTTCCGATCAGCTTCATATTCTGGCCATGTATAGTCCGAAGAGTTTTTTGGTGTGGGATTTCTAAAATAAAAAACATATATGAATATAATTTATCTATGTTAAGTAAATTATAAGTTTGAACTAAATTGCAAATTAGAAATTGTAACAGTATTGAAACTTTCCGTTTGCCTAGTGTGGACACGACTTAACGTTTAACGTGGACACGTTAAAGTAAGAACCAAGACTAGTAATTTTAAAGCTAGTTTTTAAACTAATTAATTTTAGATATAATTTAAAAGACTTACCCGTATTTTACAAAGTTTGTAGTCACAGTTAATATTACATCTAAGGTTTCCAAACTCTTTCTGTCAGCTGATTTTAATTTTGGTTTAGTTGCACTTGTAATGAATACATATCCCAAATCGTCGCCATGGCTTGTTCCAGGATAAGTTATATTGTAATATATTTTATACCAATTCAAAGCTCCATCAAAGTCGAAGTAATAATAGTAAACTTTATTGCTGTCTTCTTTTTCCTTATACATGTTGATCCACAAGTCGACACCATGAACGTAATGTGTGTCAGATATGAGGTCGAAAGCATTACTTATCGTCCAATTAGAAAAGTTTTCATCGGCAAAATAAAATTTAAGAATAGATTTTGCTAATGCCATTGATTTTTCGGAACCAAGAGGATATTCGATATTGGATGGTATAGTCAGTTCAATATTTTTTCTTAAAATATTTACTACAAGGTCAGGATACCTTAAATATCCTGATGCCATGTAAATTCCCTCATTGCTGTTGAATCCTGCTAAAATAGGAACATTCTGGAACTCATGGGCACGTAACATTTCTATCGGAGGTTTAGTGAGAACTGCATGCGAAAACTCTTTTTCAATATTTGGTATAAATGGTGTATAAGGTCTTAGAGGATTCTTATCCCCTTCCCTCATTTGTTCGAAGTATTTCACTAAATCGAATACGTCGGCCTCTCTTAGACATTTCAGTATCGACTCTTTGTCCTTGTCGTCAGGACACACGAGCTTGGCCAAATTCAATGCGTTCTCCACGGGATGTTTCGCTAGAACTCTATAACTTAAGGCACTGCCACTGAACAATATCGCTCTATGAAATAATCCGGACGATTGTTTAAACATTAATAAATAATTGACTATGGAAGCACCAGAACTATTGCCTCCTATCGTTATGTTATCCCTGCTACCTCCAAATCTGCCAATGTTTACTTTTATCCATTCCAATGCTAATAGAATATCTTTTAAACCGGCGTTACCTGAGGCACCTTCGACTTGAAGTGACATAAATCCTAAAATTCCCAACCTAAAATTAACGTCAAAAAATTTTAGAGAATCCTTATGGAGTTCAGTACGTGTACAAAGTAAACAAATGTATTAGGTTACCTATAGTTCATAGTAACAAAGATGATGCCTCTTTCCAACAATAGCTCAGGACCGTATATTAAATCGGTGTTACCAGAGATATAGTGAAATGCACCCCCGTGTACAAACACTAGAACTGGTAATGTTTCTGCAGTACTGCGTGTCGGCACGAAGATATTTATACGTAAACAGTCTTCACTCATGTCGTTCTTTTGATATTTCACGGGCATTTGCGGGCATATGAGAGGCTCTCGAGTTGCATTAAACACATCGGTCCATGGCCGTCGCGGGACTGGGGGCTGGCGAGTGTAACAAAAAATTGTATTTAAAACAAACAAATCGACAGACAAAACATGTTGCGTTTTATGTTAAAGAGAAAGAAAATACGATTATTTGTATTTGTTATTAAATAAACAGTAACATACATATTTACCCGAAATCTAAGGGATCCAGTAGGATTTTCCGCATAAGGTATTCCTTCGTAGGAATAGTACGAAATATTATTATATTGTTGTAAACGTCCTCTAACTGGACCGTTTGTTGTCTTAATTATGCGTTCTCCGTTTGTAGCGGCAACGTATGAACACAAGATATAAGTTAGCACTGCGATTAAAAACATTGTAGCACATGTCTACATCAGCACAAAACTTAAAACGGACTGTGTTATAAAAATGAATATTCCATATAATCCATCGACATGATAATACCGGCACACAAGACATAGTAATTATTTGCACAGTCGTGTTAAGCAGGTTGTAGTTTCGAATACGGACATTGTCTCAAGTGACAATCACTTTAAATATATCTTTATATTATTACTGTTTGGGTTATAATATAGAAAAAAAACCTACATGGTATGAATTATTAGATTAACGTGTCTTCACATTACGCGCCTAATCGTGACTGTATTAATTATGAATTGTTTATTATGTTAATAAATAAGTCGAACAAAAAATGTTTATTACATTATTATTCGTTTTCCATAAAATATTTATAACAATGACTTCGTCGTTTTGATTACGGTATACATTTTTTCTGTAGTTCGCCACCCTCTCTGACGTAACGGTCATACTTTTCATAGACATTATACCAAAACATCAGTCTGTCGAGGAGCGGATTTGTAAGCTTCCCTTCCCTAGGGCTTTCGTTTATAATAAACATTGATCTGTCTTGGTCATATTTCGGCCACTTAAAGTTACTTCCTTCCGGGGTGGGATTTCTGTAACAAATGAAAACATTTATATGATCCAGCGCTTTTTGTTTCTTACACTTTATTTTTTCATTAAACGTTTTGTCTAGAACAGCTTGCATTCGAGACCCATTTGGGCTAACACTAAGTGACTCATAATGTAGTCTATATTAAAACACATCACATTGAGATAGTAAGTAATCGTCTCATCTCACCTGCCTAAAGCCCGCTAAACACACTCCGTTTTATTTGGCAGTCTTTTCTGAACAGACCGACCGTTCACATCAATCAAACGAAACTGGAAACTGTTCAGTTGTCAGGTTTGCCTACACACGTTAGATTTATCTGATCATCTCTTCAGATAAAACTGCGCGTGTGTAGTGGACTTAACAAACTGCTGTTTAATGTTCAAAACAATTCAAGGGGAATTAAAAAGCAATATTTCCTTTTCACAACCAATAGCAGACAGAAATTGGTTTCCTACATCATAATCAGAATCATGATATGAAATAGTTGCTTACCCGAATTTAATAAAGTTGCCTAATAAGGTCGTCCACGTGTTCAGAACTACTCTGCTTCGGCTGCTAATGTTATTTAAAAGTAATTCAGTGTTAAGAGTGACAAACGTGTAGCCCATTTCATCTGCATGTGCGGTGCCTGGGAAATGTATGTCGTAATTTATTTTCGACCAGTTAAGATCTCCATCAAAGGTGAACATGTAATAATATAAGTCGTTGCTTTTATCTACTCCTTTTTTCCTTTTTATCCACGCGTCTATCCCGTAAATAAACTGTGAATCTGACGCTAAGTCGACAATGTTACTCAAAGTAAAGTTGGATAAGTCACTGTTGAAGTAACGTTTTCTGATTGATTCGCCCAAATCCACTGATATATTCGATTTAAGTGGATATTCTATGTTAGATGGTATACACAGTTCTATATTATGCATCAGTTTTTTCAAATTCGAAGCATTTTTAGCTATTTTTGGTAAAATATATATGCCTTCTCTGTCATTGAAACCAGTTAAAACTGATACATTCTTATGTACATTTAATTGACTGGGCTCTGAAGTAACGATTGCATGTGAAGATTCTTTTTCAACAGTGGGAAGGAAAAAAGAGAATGGTCGTAAAATAACTTCGTCATATCTGATCAAGTTTACTTCTGCGTCTATAATATCTACAACGTCTATTTCCTTAAGTTTCTTAAGTAGCAAATGGTCGTCGTTTGTGTCCAAGTTAAGTTCTTTAGCCAACATGTAGGCATTGTCTTTGGGATGTCTTGCTACTGCTCTGTTATTCACGGCGTTACCGCTGATCATAATTGCTCGTTGAAACAAATTGACAGATTGTTTAGATACCAGTAAGTAATGTATCATCGTTGCTCCACTGCTGTGTCCACCAAGCGTTATTTTATTAGGATCACCTCCGAAATGTTTAATGTTTTCTTTTATCCAATTCAAGGATAATACGACGTCTTTTAAAGCTGCGTTACCCGGTGCTCCTTCAGTGTCGAGTGATAGGAATCCCAGCGAGCCTAACCTAAAATTATAATAAATCTGAAGTTACATTTAATGTCAAACGTTATTTTAACATTACGTACGTATTAATTACCTAAAATTCATTGAAACAAAAATAATATTTTGTTCTAGGAAAAATTGTGGTCCATAAATTATGTCACTATTGCCGGATAAGAAACGAAATGTTCCTCCGTGTACGAAAACTAGTACTGATAATTTGTTATTGGTAATATTCTGTGGCACATATACATTGAGGAATAAGCAATCTTCGTCCGTACTTTCACGGGGATACTTCTCCGATCCTTGAGGACATGATGGTCCTTCGTGTGTTGCGTCTAGTACATGTGACCATGGTCTCTTTGGAACTGGAGGCTGTGATAATAAAACAAGAATATTTAAAGTTATTTATTTATGAACACAGTACAGATAGGAAATATGTTATGAACCATTAGATTAGCAAAACATTCGGAGACAAAAAGTAATGATTACCATAAATCGTAGTTGGCCAGTAGGTTTTTCAGCATATGGTATACCTAGATATGTATAATATCTTAAATCATTCCAATGTTTCAAAATCCCTCTGACACGTCCTGTTGTTGTGTTAACTATTGGGTTGTTTATTGATTCAACCAACTTAATGAAAAAAATTGTTGTCAAAAGTTTAAATATCATTTTGTAGTTAAACTGCTCCTGAAATATAAGAAAAATTACTCACTTGGACACGCAAAAAAAGTAATAAGATAACCCGTACTGGAGAGGTTAACGTTTTTATAAATAAAGTTTTATTATAACTGATATTGAAATAGTCAAAGTAAAAATTCGGTGATTAATGGACCAGCCGGGTAATTTGCCATTGGTGTAATTTTAGAAGTTTTGTCTTTAAATTTTAAAAAATATTTAAAACACGTACCGGTTTAATTTAAACACGAACATTGAACATTCCACTCCTGTCTTATTTAATCACAACTTTTTAATTTAACTTTTAAAAATAACAAAAACGTTATCTAAATGTACCAGTGGTTATTATCGCTACCATTTTAGAAGTGACCCATTCTGTTTCTAGTGGGGAAATACGACAGTGTTAATTATCGTTCTTCTCTAATTGCTAAAACATTTTTCATCGAAAAATGTAATTAGGTTTCGTCAAAGCAGCAATTCATACTCTATTTTCTAAACTAAATTGATAAAATGTTTATTTTTGTCCTAAAGCGAGGTTACGTATCTGTTTTGCATAAAATCCATTTTTACCGTTTATTGACAGAAACAGGCGTCTTCGAAGCTTTTACGAAGAACTTGAGGGTGGAAATGAAAGTGTCAAATATATCTCTATGAGTTTATTTTCGTAACTCTAAAACTAAATAAATTAATCTTGCACAACTTACAATATAATATTTACAGTCTTTAAAGTCAATGAAGAATAGACATACCTACATTAAATACACTTATACTAATATTATAAATGCGAAAGTTTAGATGGATGTTTGTTAGAGTTTGTAGCCTGAACGGCTGAACGGATTTCGATAAAATTTGGTGTAGATATAGGGGATAGTCTGGAAGAACACATAGGCTTTTTTTTAATTCCACGCGGACAGAGATTCGGACGAAAGCTAGTACATTTATTAATATGTACTGAATAACTTCAAAGGTTGCTATTATAGTATCTATTTTTTTAACATTTTGTAGCTGCTCGGAAAAAATATATTAGGTTTGAACTTCTTAAATGAAATGGATCTATTCAAAGTACCGATTGATGGTCGTAAAGTTATTTATTACGTTCAAAAATTAAATGTTATACATTTTTGTATGCAAGGACTACAATAATAATTCAGTAATTGAGATTAAAGGCTCCGAGCAGGTTCAAATTACATTTAGTACAACACTCCCTTAAATTGGAGAAACAACTAGCTGTTCCCGTGCGGCTTCATCCGCATGAAATTATGAAAATTTCATTTTATTGTTTACCTGTGTCAAATAATCAATTGCAAATGTCAAAATGACAAACCATGGCAACCTTGCCTCCTTAATGTTGGCAGCTTGCAGTTTATGGTCCCTTATCCATATGAAGGTTCTTTCCAATTTATTTATCCCCCAAGTTTAATAGGGTAAAAATATATATCCTAAAGCTTGTCGTAAGTGTCGGGCTTTTTATTAAAGAGGGAGTTATTCAAAAATATGCTGTGATTGCGGACATCCTACGCCACAAAGTAGTGTGTGTTTACACTTTATTATATTAGTATGTATAGATTGATATTTTGTTCTCTTTATTAAAATTATTTCTCGTTATTTTATCGTTGGTAACTTTTTAATTATAACGAAATATTGTTACATTACCTTAACATAGTTAAAATGAAATTATGTGCACTTATAATTAGGAACAGATGCAAGATTTTTTATTTTACTATTGTTCAGTTAAGACTACTACATCTACATCTCTACAAAATTCTCTCTGAGTTTTAGAGATATAATCTAAATTATTGTGCAGGTTTTCAGCGGTGGAACTCTACTTTTACATTATGAATGGGCTGTGTTTCAAGTCTCCGATAATTGGAAAAATGTGTAAAAATATATTAACAATTGAAAATAAATATTAGTTATTTTATATTTATCCAAGGAAGTTGTTGACGAGGTTCTGGAAGGAGTTTGTGATGGAGGCAAAGAAGCCCGGCGCGGGCGCAGGCGGCGGCCGTGGCGCCAGCGGCCGGTAGTAGCCCCCGTTGTCAATACGCTGCAAAACAATTTGTTTATTTAAAAAAGGAAATAATAGAATAAATTATGACAATGAACATTGGGAATTTTTATTTTTTAACGTTCTATTTATTTCTTTTTCACTTCATAATAACAAATAAGGAATGTTTACAAGTATTTTTATTTTTGTTAAAAAATGAAAATCAACTTTAAAAACAGGATATTGAGATCGATAAGAAAGTATTTTAATGATGTATTTGCATAATTCGTTACCGAAATTAAAATGCAATAAGCGTACTCGTAATTTTTCGATAATGAAAAGTAATAATTAATTACCATAATGTAATAATTTGTCGCAATATAATATAAACCTGGTAAATGAGAATAGACAAAATCACTATCATAATTCTAATTTTGTAATTGTGAATATATTCTGAAATTGTCGTCTACTGAACATAATTCATGCAAAATGCAAAGAATCTTAAATATATTCTTATTACACTAAAGAAATAATTAAAAGTAGCGGTTACAAGATGTATGTATGTATGTAATGCAGTGTTTTGTTAGTGGAAATAATTATATATGCATATGGAAATAAGGATAGAAAATGAAAGGCAACTTGATAAATATGATGATAAGCGTGTTGCTGAAAATTGCAATAAAGATAATATCTAAGTTTTACAATTTCTACATATCAAACACCACATTTATATGCTAAAAATCGACCATCGTGTCTAAACAAGGCCATTTTTATTCCTACTGTAAAAAAAATATGTTAAACACAGTGGTGTGGCGGGAAACCAAATGACCTCAACTGCAACAATAGCAAAATGAAGGACACAGCCTTTTATGAATTGCATGTATTGAATAGCGAGCGACGAAGTGCTCATAATATTATAAATTTACCAAATAAAGATTATTTCGGGATAGACCAAGTAGTGTTGCGATTGTCGGCGGCGTGAAGCGAGACCGGCTTCTGCCTCGGTAGCGACGTGCGGCTTCTCTCCAACTATTGGTATGTGACAAACCACCATCGTGTTATACAAGAGATATTTACATGTGCATTTTGTTAGTTTTAAGCAACTACACAATACAATGTGTATTCAAAATCTTTTCTTTAACAATAGCAATAACGTAAACTTGGTTTCTTTCAGCCAACTGTACAAACATAAAACATAAATGTCACAATTAAAAGGCTCCAGTAGATGTCTTCCTTCAACAGAACTCTATTTTATTTCAGCGTCATGTTATTTCAATTACGTGTACTTTTACATGTCTTATAATTAATTGTTATTAACAAAATAATATGTACAAGTAATTATTATTAAATTATTACATAAATACACATAATTTATTTACCAGTTGTACTTACTTTAGCGGAATGAAGAGTGACGTTTAACAGTGTTGGATGGCTGTCAATGACGACGAACTCTACTTCTTGCGGTATGTAGCCCTCCGCTGACACCTAGGGTAATAAATAAGGGATTAAGTGAATTACAACAGATCTTATTAAAAAGTTTAAAACGGGATAAGAAATCGGTTAAAATGTTTGTAGGAACGGCAACGAATTATGACCAAAATGTTTTGTTTGAGCAAGAAGTATACTTACATCAAGACGATAGTTGCCAGGCAGGAGTATGCGCCAGAACTCTCCGTACTTGGTGGTGTGGTATGTAACGTCACGGCCCTTCACCCTGACGGCCGCGCGCTCCACCGGGTTGCCGTTCTCGTCCATCACGAAGCCGTGTGCGCCGCGGTGAGCCTCCGCCAGGTATTTGATCAGCGCCTGAATAGCATAACATTGATTTTATACTTATTTAAACATCTAAAATTGGCTTAGACCTTAATTTACTAGATATGAGATGTCTAAATGAAAATCTTGTTTTTATTTTTATTTCCGTTAAAAATAGGAAAACACTATTCTACGTGAGCATACAATTCTTTTTTCTCAACAATCTCGGGACTCAGATAAAGATTATTAGTTTTATTGAAATCATAAGAAACATGACAGTCCCTAATTCTATTTTCATTTGTGATTTATCTTTGATAATGTTAGTTATCAATAAAACACAAAAAAACATTTTTAAATCCTAACGATAACTCATATCTTATCTTTAAACTTTTCAATGTGCGCGGCCTCTCATAAATAATTTCATTGTAGTTAAACATTACGTTGTTAAAATGTACGCAAGAGTTTTCAGTTTCTTGGTGGTTATTAGTTTAGCGGTACAAGTACGAAGTGAAACTAGAGTTGCAATAGCTCACCTTATATCACAGAATGTGACCGGCAGCATAACATTTACGGAGACGGCGAATGGAATTCGTGTTAGTGGTACTATAACTGGTTTGGACGTTGGAAAGTACGGTTTCCATGTACATGAATTGGGAGATACGAGTACATGTGACGCAGCCGGTGCCCACTTCGACCCAGACGACAACACGCACGGAGGTCGAGACCATGCAGTACGACACGTTGGTGATTTAGGAAACGTACAATTTGTAGGTACCGAAAATCCCGTGGCAAATGTTGATTTTGTAGACAATGTGATATCACTACGAGGCCGGAATAGTATTATCGGACGTACATTGGTCCTCCACGAGCAGGAAGACGATCTAGGTTTGGGAGGAAATGAAGGTTCTCTTAACACCGGTAACGCTGGCCCGAGGATCGGCTGTGGAGTTATAGGTATACGTTCCCCCTCCGGCCCTTGGAACTCGTCTGCATCAGTTTTTCCTTCATTATTCCTCCTTACACTTACTGCCGCTTTTGTTATCGGTAAATAATGTAGATACCGTCTATATTTTTAATGATCTTTGAACTTGTAATTTAATTAAATTAAAAAGTTAAATTCTAGTTTTTTAATGCACTGTTTACTTAAATAAAATATTAAAGGCGACGATCATTTATTCCAGTTTATCAAAAAAAAATGATATTAGAGACGTGGAGATCGTAATATTAGTTACATTTTATATTATCTTTTTAATTTAATTTTGTAATTTCCACTTTTTAATAAATCCATAACCACCACATTTTGCTTTCTTTTATCTCTTTTAAAATCTAATTACTGTTCTTACTTTTGATTAAATTAATGAATTAAAAATATTACCACATAAATGAAAAAAATAACCTGTTGGTTGTCGGCCCAATATTTGGGCAGTTCATGTGCTGGTGGGTATTTGCAACACGAAAGTTCCAAAGTGATTTCCATACACCCGTGCCACAAGTAGTTGTAGTCTTGCATTCCACCTGAAAATTATCCCTTTATTAAATTATCTGCAATTTTTTAGTTATGCTAAAAGATTTGGTTTTTAAAAACAAAAGGTCACACAGATTTTTTATTTTTGTCATATAAATAATCTGCAAGATAAGTGAATTTTAGAAACGTTGGAAGTCCGAAATTGATGCAACCGAATTAGAATATAGAAAACCAAAACTTATTAGTTATTTATTGTTTTACCTGTGAGTGGATACCAGGCTGCACCGTTAGTGATGCCATCCTTGAAGGGGACGTGGGACCTGCAGGAGACGCCGCGTGACATCTTAGCGTGGTTCGTGGAGTAGACCAGCGATAGGTGACGGAAGACGTCGTCGTCCGGCGCGATAGACGGCGTCGGCGAGTATCTTTGGAACACTGCATTCAGGGGACATGTGGACAAACAAAGAACGATACATTTCTGAGTTTAAAAATAAATGTTGACTAAGAATACATCTCAGAAATTAAGCGATTATCCATGCTTTGGCCAAAGTTCAATAGGCAATATGCATATGACGCCAAATTGATACCAAACTTTTTTTAAGCATTTTTTGTTACTATTAAAACATACCTGTAATTTTTTTTAATATAATGTGATTTAATGGCGAAATTTAATCATTAAAAAGTGTCTTTTTTTTTTAATTTCCTCGCTAAATTCTAAAACGCAACGCTATTGGTCGAAGCAAGTGGCTTATCTAATATGGCGTCGTTGTGTTGTCAATACGCAGTTCATTTACGTTAGTTTATAATATAGAAATTCATTCTTTAAGTATTTTACTATAGACACTATATCAAAACTAACTTTAAAGTAAAAAACAAATGAAAAGAATCATTAACTACCATTTATTTGTATCTGTAATAATAAATTCCTTACAAAAATTTATGAGATTTCATAAAAACTCAAACAGTTATTTTAGTCAATGACTGGATAGACTTCTGCAATAATTTTGTTGAAATATAATCAATTACCAAAATATTAGCTTTAAATTGATCGTATAGTATTACTGTATCATCTTTATTGTTTTGATTAATACACCGACACGGCAATTGCTCGGTTTATATGGTCAATATGTACATATTGTTGATAGATTTTTAAAATAAATAAATCTGAATATATTTTATGTTGTTCTAAATCTATAGCGAAAGCGCTGACTAAATTCCAAACTTCAGGTTGGTAGCACCATTGGAAGTGCCTTAAAGTTATGATTGAACATGAAATTGCGTAAAAAAGTGAATAATTCAACTAGCTAAAATTTGTAAACTACTAGGTATAATTTAAAGAAATTGGTATAAATATCTATTGATGTTCAAAATTTCAAGCTTCTATCTTTATCCATAACGAAGTTACAAGGGTCAAAAGTGCGCCGAAGCGCTTCGAGAAAATTGTGTTCGGCCGTGGTCGCCTTGGCGGGTGCACTGCCGCGGACCCAGAAATGAATCGATTTTTGTCTTTTTGACCATGAGAAGCAATGAGATACTTTGTTGTTTTTTACATTTGAGCGTATGTTTTGTGTTCTGTATGGAATATGACGATTGACGTCATTTGACTCATGTCAACTCCGGTGGCGTTTTAGTCGCTCGAAAATAATCGTAATTTCATTTTATCATTTTTAGCTCAATGGTTGAATTTTTTCGAGTCATTATTTTTTTTCTGGTTATCTCATAACAAGTAGAATCATTTACAAAAAAGAAAAAAAACATGCACATTCCCTATTGTTTTTGCAGCAATATTATGCAGTATCCAGTACTTAGTCAAATAGGAGTGTATGAAACCAATTTAAAAATAAATGTAAAGGTAATACTTTACCTTTGCATAATACAGAAGATCTGCACATTCCTGTATAGATTGACAAAATATTTCAAATTACTTGACAGTTTTAGGCACATTTTATAAACATGTACTATCTCTATTAAGTAGTAGTTAACTCTACTTATAAGCGATCCCGTTACTCGTTTTACAATTTGCGGGTTGTTCCGCGGCACATTTACCTAACCCGCGAATACGGATTTGAGCTACATTTACATAGATTTGGCTATGTTTCAAATACATCTTTATTAATACTGTAATGAATAATGTCAATGTATATTTACTAGCACTAGGGGTGTTGTCGAAGGGGTATGAGGCGACGAGGGCGCCGCCGTGCAGCGAGCCCGACAGCACGAACTGTATCTTGCTGATCCACTCCTTGACAGCCTCCGTCTCTGGCTGCGACTGCTTCGTGTTCGGTATGAAGAAGTCTGGGAAGTTTCTGTTCAGGTCGTACCTCCGGGCGTTGTGCCTGTACAATACGCTCAAATTCAAACTGGACTTCGTGGGAACATACACATTGTTGATAAAATGTTCCTCCTGTTTCATAACTAGGAATTCTCTAATTTATTTAAGCTAATGGGGTTGGGGTGGAACTTCTCTTAACTTGTGGGTAACTAATACACAAATTGTTATCTGTACCATTTACGTATTTGAATAGCATAACATTCGGCATTTATTGTGTTCATATGTCAAGGCAAATACTTTTAGGTTAGGTGATAAACAAGGTAACTTGTGCAATCTTTCGTTCCAGTTGCGTTGCCCCATAAATTGACAAATAATTGTATTGTTATGTGAACAAATGAAATTTTTATGCTTACCGGCCATATTCCGGCGATGTTTTATCCTTTTTGCTAATATATGACGAGTCGTTGGAAACGGGCAGCAGTAAGGTAATTAATGATTACATTTTATGGGTACCATTAATATGTAGGTTTTAAAGAAGCAAGGAAAACATAAATCATTATTGCAGTTATAATATTGATTTTAAACAATGGTCTAGTCCAAGAGTGGTCCTACTGCTATCGATCTAAAACCTATTTTAATCATACCACTACGCCAGTTATGCTTATTGGAAAATATCAGAATGTACCATAACCTTGGTTGCATATTAACTAATTATAATGTTTTAAAAAATAATTTTACCTGCCGACAGTGGTGACACATTGACCTTCGTTGGAGTTGGCGAAACCATCAGGGTTCATAGACGGCATCAGGTGAATCCTCGTGTTGTCTAGTAGCCATTTGATGTATGAATCTGTTTCATAAGATGTCACCAAGTACTGAAAAAGAAAGTGATAACAATCTAAATTTTTATTGGTTCAGAAAATGGTACCGAAAACTGCATTCAAAGTTCAAAGTCTTTTTCTTTGCGTATTGCTTTACAAGTAAAATTTTAACGTTAGATTGCTTACACGGTATAAACTGCAATTCTCGTAAAGTTTAATGCAAACCTGTATGAGATGCAACAGCAATTCCCGTCCGACGACCTCATTGCCGTGGATGTTGGCCACATATTTCACATCAGGTTTTCCGATCATGTGCTCGTAAGGCGAAGCCGAAACAACCATCACCCAAAGGTCACGACCTGTAACATTAGTTTCCTACAGATCTCTAGCTTATATTTCATTACAATCCGAAACCGAAATATTTTCTCCATATAAAAATGCACAGGGCAAGTACTAATACTACTTTGTTATAGCATATAAAATTTGCAAGATGCATCTGTATGTTAACATCACTTACCTTCCACAGACTTCCCTATAGAGTAGAGTGCTGTAAGGGCCGGATACTTTGCGGATACCGCCCGTAGGTACCGCGTCAGTTCCTCGTGGTCGTGATAACGGAACTCCAGGTCAGAACTACTCTGTCGGCCTTCAACATCACTCAAATTCGGCGTGGTATCTTCACCTTAAAAATAAATAAAAATCGATAATGCAATATAATTGAAGTACGAGAAAAATCGACTTACCTTCATAATTCTAGAGGTACTAAGTAGAAGAAAGGCTTTATAATAATAGATTTATGATAGTATTTGTATTCAAATGTTGGATTCGAACACACGTTCTCATGTTCGGTGTGTTCCATATCGTCAACGATTACGATATTTATGTTTCAACAAAATATAATTAAGCGGTGAACTTACTAGAGTATTGTGTGTCGGGGATTTGTCCGTACGTTGCAGTGATCACTAAACAAAGTGTCACTATCCTGGTTACCAGAGATCTGGCCATCTGTGAAAATATAACGTATTTTTAAATAGCTTTAGTGAACTTTCAATAATTTAAACGAGCAGAACAGATACTCTATATAAGTACATATTTAATTTTAAATAATAAGTGGTAAAAGACTGTTAAAAAATCAAGTAGTTTCCACATGGTTGCGAAAAAACTTTAATGACATGAATTCAGAAATGTAGTTTTTGTGTCCTGTTTTTGCGATAACGGCATAAAACCAAGCATGCTTTTGTTCTATTAATTTACATAATGTTGCAAAATATTGAACATATAATTTGTTCAATGTTTTACCGGCCAACTGTGATAAGTCTAAGTAGGAAAAAAGAATATGTTGTGGTACTAAGCTTTTTTGTAACATTCATTGACTTATCATACTAAATTATTTCGATTGGGTAATTTGTATGCAGAGAGTTACGACGCGATTGATTAGCATTGCTTTCTTTTTAATGTTATGTTTGGGAAGTAGCGCGTGTGGTGCGATGGGAACCGGTCTCTGTGAAGGTCACTCGGTCACTGGACGCCGCGGACACGTAACCTCTTTAACAATTATAACGCATCATTAAACCAGTTATCAAAGATTAAAATTAAAAAACTTTTCAGAGACAATATTATAAACTACACAGCTAAGAACGACTACATTCACCCTAAAGAAAAGACTCCCAATAGGTCTGAAACTAGTCCGTGTGCACACCGTAAACTATCGATCGTCGTTTTAATTAGTTTATTTTTTAGTATACATGTAAAGTTGAAGTCGTAATATTAGTTATATCTGTACCATGAAATGTAATAAACACCCAAACTCATGCGCATTGCAGTTACAAGTGGGCGGTTATGTATTATATGTAACTAGATGTTGCCCGCGACTTCGTCCGCGTGGTATTAGAAAAAAAAATGCGAACTATATAAATAACAAAAAGCTACGTATCCCTCGAGAACTGGACATTTCTCGGGGATGAACCTTATCCCATGTGTACTCCGGACTTTGTTTTATATCTGTGCCAAATTTCAATAAGATATGTTGAACCGTTGCAGTATTATCGAGTAAACATTAAAAAACTGAATTGATTAATTCCACGGGAACCGTAACTATTCCCGGGATAAAAAGTAGTCTATGTGTCCTTCCAGACTATTCTCTATCCCTGTGCAAAATTTCATGGAGATCCGTTCAGGCGTTTAGGCTACAAACGCTAACAAACATCCTTCCATCCATCGTAACCTTCGCATTTATAATATTTATAGATATACGACTAGATATATGATATATGATGTATGATATATAATTATATGATATGATTATTACATTTGTATAACATAAATGACGCAGACATAATACGTATTTTCCTTTTACATTGACGTAGGAAATGTAATATTCTACATTGAATATTATTAAAGGTCAAGGTAGGTGCAGTATTTTATTAAAAAGTTGTTTTATAAGGTACTATCATTTGCCCACGAGTTCGTCCACGCGGAATTTTAAATAGCCTATGTGTTCTTGCAGACCATGTTCTACGTCTATGCTAAATTTCAACGATATCCGTTGTGCCGTTTAGGCGTTAAAGTCTAATAAAGATCCATTCATCCATCTAAGCTTTTGCATTTATAATGTTAGTAAGAAGAAGTGAGATAAACTCAAACGTTTAGGTATAAAATCTTACAATGGAAACAATGACTAAGACTAAGCGGGTAATAAATGTTGGATAGATAGTGTAATTTGATTTGGATTTTCCCCTGGATTTAACCAGTACAAAATTACATTGGCACCTATTATTTACTAAGTCTGCATTAAAATTATGTATCCTGCAAAAAATATGAAAAACTGCCGAGTCTCACTTTCCCCACAAAAGTGTGTTAGATGATGACATCATTTTGAAAGAACACCACTTGCTAATTATTCCCTTTCTATCTAATCTTAAGCAAAGCTCTCGAGAATAACGTATTTTAGTTTGAAAATCAATGGCGCCGTGTAATTGTCAAGGCTTCATAACAGACACTAAATAAAATGACTAGTTTTTACATGTTAAAAATAGTGTTTGGCTGTGCTCGCCTCGGCAGGAATTCGGGGATTTGTTATAAATAGACGTGCAAATACAAATCTATTCTTACTCATTTGTAAAAAGACGGATAAACCCGGGGGAAAACCCAATCCAATTAGATATTATTAAATTCTCATGTGTTCAGTTTCAGACATAATGTATCATATGCTATGTTAAAATGTACTCGTATCATGTGTTTCATTTCACGTAATGAACGACAATTTTGGACCGTTGACCCTATTGTGGGTGAACCACTAACGGTATTTATTTTCGTTTTCGTTTTCTAAAACAGACACAAGTGTGAAAACTAGACAGTAAAAATCATTTCTCAAAACCAGTTTGAAGTATAAATGTGTAAAATAAAGTTAACATTGTTTATTCTTTTATTAGACGTTCCCTACGCCTAATAAAAGAATAAACAATGTTAACTTTATTTTACACATGTTAACTGATCGTTGAATTATTAAAAAAAATATGTACTTAAACATAACTAAAGTTTTCATTACTGTTCGTTTATTTGGTATAATTTTGAATAATAGGTTGTAAAAAAATAGAACATGTCAATAAAAAAAAATAAACTACGATAATGACGAAAAGTGAAAAGAAACAACTGGAAGTTACTATTAGCATAATTCACGTCACGGCCAGAGCTGCTCACTTTTTCTTATGTGAAAGTTTGAAGCGTGCAGCAATTGCGACCACTGAATCTGCACAGTAAATGCCAAACTCAATGCCAATGTCACGCCTATTTATTCGCCTATTATATATATAACTAATAATATTTGGCCTGCCCTTGAAAGAAATCTTAAAAACTACTCGATAAACATAAAGATGGAATTGAACTTAAGCCCTTAGGTTGCTATTTGGTATATTTGAATTAAAATTTCTAAACAAAGTACAATATATCTATCAATTAAAAAAAAATACGAACAGTTGGATGCAAATAGGTCAGTTCCTCGAATTTTATTTGTTCAATCTCCACAATTTTCCTTATTGAGTTAACTTAAGAAAACTTTAATTTTGTTTTAAAACACTTACCTTAAATCACAGAACTAAATACACTAGTAATAAGCAATATTTCAACATTGGTATAATCACGTCTATGAAACACAAGAAGTTAAGTTCACGACTTTTTCGGGGATAAACTTTATCATTAAATCAGGTGGGATGTATGGTCCTAGTATCCGGACGGACAAACTACGACTGGCAGCGTTGGCCCGAGCTGGCGGCAGCTACTGCCTTGAACGAGGCTTCTGCGTCATTCGAACACGCGCGGGACTTTAGTGCTTTCACTCCGAACGAAGCACGCTAAAACTATTCGTGTCATAAGGAAGTAAGGTTCAATTTATATATCTAACTGAACTTGGACCTGTGTATATTGCATTTTCTTCCCTACATAGGAGCGATATAGAGGCAAGATTCGACACGCGTGCTTTCCGCGATAGCGCAGCCTTCACGTCCATCCCATCTGGCACCTTTCCCGCGGATTGAATATCTTAACCCGATATTTATTACAAGAAAATTCTCAGGGAAATTTAATAACTCATGTTATTGACTCGATGCCACCATTACTTCTTGACGATTATGTGGTGATATTTTTTCGTAGTACCTACGTATTTTTTACATACTAAAAATATGAATATATGTTAATGTCCATTATTGTATGACACAGTATTTAAACTTAAAATTATAAACTATAGCACCAATTTACATTTAAGATAATCATGATGATAACCTATTAACATTTCTTGACACCGACAGAGACAACAATAATAATGATTGTTTACTCAATTTATTAATTATTTGCTAAATCTTTGATATGCTGGCCAAGACTATTATTTGATTAATATCTCTATAAAGAAACTTCGACATTTTGTTTTAAACCTAATAAAGACTTTGTGATTTTCTTGTCAATTCCTCCTATGGAATGTTAAAAAAAATTATAAATAGTTATTTCATTAATAATTACTTTAAGTCAAACAGTAACTGACTCAAGACATTAAATTGTTGCAAGTGTTGATATTATTTTAGGTACCGCTTGTCGATTATCTAGGTACCATTTTTTTTTTAAAGTTAATATGTTTTATCACAAGATTAATTTATTGTAACGAATAGTCGACATAAAGTTTTTTCAGTTATCTCAATCTATCTAAATCTATGGGTATTGTAGGCGCCTTAGCATTTCAAAGTATATCAATCTATGTCTTTTTAATTTATTAAATCTTAGGGGCTGTCAGCTGCCCTGCTAATTCTTTTGGCGATGCTCATGATAGTATTCAAGACTATATGCAAAACTCACTTGCTAACATTTACTAAGGGAGGTTATTTGTGTAGATATGTTTAAAACGTCTCTGAGTAATTAACTATGACTAGTTGCCAAAGCCACAGAAAGTATACATACCCGAGAAATGTACCCTCAACGGAGCGACGCGCCGATTGACTCGAAAGTTTGTCATGATGTGAGACCAAACCTAGAAATCGCAGTTGGTGACGATTGAAATCAATTTTTTCCTATTTCATTCTATCTGTATAGCAATACACTGCGCCTTAATTATTACTGATTAGTTGACGGGAATCGTATCTTTTACAAAACATCTAATGTCTAATTACCTCAACTAAAGTATTATTTTGACGACTTTATGTAACAGACGTTGATAAAAAGCTTGGAGAAAGGCGGAAGAAAATTACTACATAACCCTTTTTCTAATATTAGGACAAAAAATCTCGTGAGATCAAATACTACGAGTAAGTTTCCCAACTGATGTCAGATCATTAGATACGTAACGAAGCGCATCGAGATCGAGATGGAGAAGTAACAATTAAAGTGAAATTGTATTGTGTTTGAAAACACTTTCACTATCATTGGTTTAGCTATTTTTGTTTTAACTAAGTACTCCAACAAATATTGCAGACGCAGAAGGCGTAGTAAGCGATCAAATTTAAAACTTACATATTGAAGATAGGTCTTAGTTAAAATTCATTAGAAATATCTTTTTGATGAACAGTATGAACTGGTATATGATCGAATTCAACATTATCGTGATCCCAAGAATAGAAGTAGCAAATGGTTATATTCGCATTTTTATTACAATTGCTTAACTTATTTAATAGTTAATGACTTGGTTACAAGTTATAAAAAAGAAACAAATATTTATCAGCACCTTTGATGTTATCTAACTAGTTAGCAACTTGTTCTATGTAACGTACAGAGTCAAGTGAGGCCTCGGACTTACTTAAAGAGGTTAAATCGAGGCACTCACTGTCCTCCTGTACTGTGAACAATTTTAGTCAAAGTAAAAAATTACAATTAAAAAATTACATACATTCCGTTTTAAAGTAATAAAAAAATATTTTCTTTAGAAAATGAAATGCAATCTTCTTTGAAATTTTACTTGCCAATAAGTTTCAATAGGTGATAGGATTTTTTTTTTGGATTTGTGTTTTAGCTCAATTTATTTAACATTGTTTTTGTTTCATTTTTTAAGAAGAAACAATAATTTTGCTTTACTTGACATCAACATCATAACATCTTCACTTGGTTTTATAAAATACCCACATCGTTGTCATAATAATAGACAACGTTGAGTGGTATCACGAGAACAAAGTCACATCATTAGCTGGTTTTATATTCTGGAGAGCTGCTTCCGGGAACCCTTGGGATTTAAATAGATACAATATTGACCTTGAATGTTGCCAGTGACAATTGCTGCATCTAGGCCACTGAAGATGTTAGATTTAATGAAAAAAGGGTTTGAGAGCGAGGACAAGGACAGGGGGTGACGCGAGGTGATGAGGTGAGCGCATGCGCAGAGCGTGACGTTGTATCGACTATTTGCACCCTCCGGCGACGGCGCGCAGGGTTCCCGCGCAGCCGCCAGCCTCGGGGTCCGAGCGGCCCAAGCTCTCCCCGGGACCCCATTACGTAACTTACACGCACAGAAGGGCGCACAAATAATGTGATTTTACTTATTTTACCAATTTTTTCTACAGTTTTTAAATTATACAATTTTAGGAATAGATGTCGCGCGACTAGTTTTATAGTTTTTTTTCTTTTAGTTACGTTAAATGTATAGTGTAATGTCAGTTTTATCTACAGAGATGGTGCAGTTTTGCTAGACACTAACCAATTCGTATGCGCAATACCTTAATATTAGAATCAAGATTGATAGTATAAAAATTTGTAATATTAGTAAAAAGTGTTTAGTTAAGTAAATGTAATTGAAATGTTTGTCATTGTTTGCAATATCACCTATGCAATGATGTTAGGAAAATTCAAAACATTATGAAAATTTCATGAAAATTTTCAAAATCTGCATAGACTCTTGTATACACGAAAGCTGTAACTCCACTTTGCAATCATGACAATGGGTAAGTGAACATTTTAGTACTCTATTGTTGCTTATAGGTTTGTTATTTTATTTTTCATTATAACGAAAATGTCGGCTAAAAATATGTAAAACAATAACCTAAATAGCACAAAGTTTTGGGTCTTGGCGTTGTCAATTCCAACTAAGACCTATTAACAAGAGTATGTTATCTACAGTACTCGTATGGACAATTTCACACAACATTTAATAAAATCCGTAAAACACGCCTGAAATTTAGCCAACTCTATTGCCAAAGTTTAGAAATTTGTTGATCTTTGCTACCAGATAAGATCTTATGAATCTGAAATCCTTTCACATTTATAATCGCAACAATTGTACAAAATTTAAATTGCTATTGCAGTCTCAATTAAAATTAAAAAATAAGTTTAGGCGGGAATCTCCACATCAAGAGCAAATATAAAAGCAGTGTATTGTAGTTATATCTTCAATTGAGATTATACTTTGGCAGTAATATGCTAACAAGCTCCCAAAGCATCTTCACATTGAGAGTTTTGTCAACAACGTTCTCGCTGCATGGCTTTAAGCGCTCTTGAGGCCCAACTTGAAATCTAAAAGTAGATTATAGATGCACGTGTACAGCCATTAGAAGCTGTATAGAAGACTACGATTTATTCTTATATGATAGATTTTTTTTTCATATGAACAATAAAGCAGAAGTTACACTGATGCAAAAAAAAAGCCAGTTAAGTCTATATGACTAAGAAATAATAAAATTCAGCTCTAATAACTAATAATAGATAATAACTAAAGAATATGCATTATTGCAAGTAGCTACGGCATCCGCTGTTCGTTTGCCTCCTTCTACTTTAAAAAATAAAATATACTTGTAATTATAACAGTGATCAAGAGGAGCAAACAAAGATTGATGGTGAAAAAATCAGCTCTAGCATGGTTCCTTCCATTACCTAATAATTATCAATTACGAGTAACCATCTACGCCAACGTTCTGATAAAATTCACATAAAAGTTAGAATGAAAATACCCATACACAGATTACGTTTTTTAAAACCTAAGGTTATTTTATCTCGGTTGTTCTGTTAAAATGCTGCCAGTGTCGCTGTTTATTAATTTCCTGCTCGCATTATTCAACACACTCTATACATACCTATGTGAGTAGACGGCTTAACCCGATTTAAATTACAGGTCACATAATAGGCCTTACATTTAATTCGGTTGTCGTTAATGAATGACGTAACATAGTTTATACAAATGGTAGCGAAGTTTTGTATGAAGCGCGCGCAGTTCTGTACCGCGCGTCGAACGGTAGAGCGCTCGTGCGCCGCCTGTACACACCGCTACGAACATTTTGTTTCCACGACTTTTTATCAACAGTTGTGTAGCGAAATACGGCGTACTGTTTCCTTCATTAAAACAAATGTGTAATGCGCCTCCGTGTTGCAGTATTTCCCGCGCTGTTTTTATTTTCATCGCCAGTTTTTCATAAACAATACCTTTGAAATACATATGAAGTATTCGGAAAGTGTATACATGCAGTTCGTTGAAGAAAACGCTACGAAATAAACGATTTTGATTCATACTTTCGTACGATGGAAAACAGCGAACATTACGCTATCGTAGATATAAGTATAAATGATAAGCATATAAATATTATCAATGCTGATTCACATAATGAAAACAACAAGAATGGAAATAAGAAGAATTCTGCATTAACTACTGTGATAAAACTACGTAAGTTGGTGTATTTTTTTGTATTCATTATTATTTTATTCACTGGAACTTTAATATGAAAATGTATAACACAATACAAATTAAAAATATAACTACTTCAGTTTTTGTGCACGAAACATGAGAATCATCAGAGCAATAACATTTTAAAATCTTACAATATCACCATTGTTTAAGATCGTGGGATTTATGTTTGATCGCAAGTACTTAATTGCAAAAATTTTCATTCAGCTTCCATTCATGTGGTTTTTGTTAACTACCCCATTATGGTGTTGAAGCGAGCATTAATTTGTACATACATTTTACAATAGTCCCACTAATGAACTACAGTACAGAATGTATCCAGCGGTTTTGATGTGCACGTATGTCTCTTCCGTTTGTCCCAGATACATAAGGCTCGTAGTGCACACAGTGTGCCGCAGTGTGGCTGAACTATGTCCCTGGCTAAACCAGTCTCTTCACACTCCGCCGCGCTACGCTCAACTATAATCAGCCTCCTGGTGCATAAACCTTAACAATAGGAGTTCACTATAATCTTCCGCCACTGCAGGTTCACGTTATTGCTCGCTTTCTACGTCTTGTAGATGCGACACTATCTATGCAAAGGAAGCGATTACGCGCGCGCAATTGACTAGTTCAGACAACAGGAAGTGCCTACATATTTCACTGCATACTTTATATTGTTGCTGTTAAACTAATGAAGAATGTTAGTTCTGTCACATTTTTTCTATGACAAACTCTATAACTGTAAAATATATTAGATCAAAGCGAAAATACATACACATTTCATTTTAGATACTGACCCAATTACGACACTTTAATGCAGTAGTTGGTTGTTCTATTTCCAAATTGGGACGGTGAACATCGTATCCAAGAGATTGTTCATTCTATTCATATATTTTTAGGTATCTTATATAACCTGTCATAATTTCTGTTATGGTAACGGAAAACAGTTTGAATATAATTTGAACCAAACCCAACAAACATACTGCAAATGTACAAAGTATGCAAGTTTAATCCATAGTTATTAAAAACGATAAATAGTAACCTGGTCGCGAAAAAAGTATTCATAAGTACCTAAGTACGAAAGATTTCTAAACAATTTTCTAACAAAGGAGGGAATATCAAGATGCAATTAGTTTATTATTACAATGAATTTTATTACGATGACGATAACGTATAACAATATGAAGAAAAAAAATCGCCAACAAAACATCTAATTCTGGTGTCATCGTATAAAATAAGAATAACAATAAGCATCACAAAACAAAGCTATTTTGCATTCCGCTCTAAGCGTAACAATTTACGTTGATGTACTAGCTAATGCATACTACTTGTACTTATGCATTTCTGTATGAACTTTCCGTTGCATAATTATGATACCCCATTTATACAACAGAAAAAATACACGACAATCAAATCCAATTTGTCGGTGCCTTTTTTCTCTTTTCTCCAAAAATGTCAAAAAAGTAAACATAATAACTAAGTAATTTTGCAATCATATTTGGAGGATGAATAACCTCAGACCACCCTCTTATTAGATTTGTAGACTACTGGGCCTCATAACGACTCATTGGTGGGTCATGACTCGTAAAACACGAGGTTGAATACCTAGTTCCATGTAATTGAGTCTTTAGTGAGTAAAACTATTGCAATCATTTTATTAGAGGATACAATATGAACACGACACTTCTCGAACTGAGATGATCTTTAACATTATCATAACTTCTGTGTAGGTTCATTAAATAGTATGCGAATATGTGGATTGGATGAACAAAATTGCTTCTACAAAGAAATGTTGATAAACCATTTTGTTGGGAAACAGAAAGAGACCGCGGGGAGCGCGACTACATCGGGTTCGCGACCCTACCAGAGCAGGTGCATAGAAAGTCCGTAAAGCGGGGCTTCGACTTCACGCTGATGGTGGTCGGCGAGTCTGGCCTCGGCAAGTCCACACTCATCAACAGCCTCTTCCTGGGAGACCTCTACAGAAATAGAATGATACCCGATGTACACGGTAACTTTTTAAATATTTATTTTCATTCTAACCTCATTAAAACTAACGTAACAGCTCCGAGTATATCAAATTTTAAAAAAAAAATTTTAAAAAAATATTTTGAAATATAGACAGATTAGAAAAGACGACAACAATAGAGAAGAAGACGATGGAGATCGAGGAGCGGGGTGTGCGATTGCGGCTGACTATAGTAGACACGCCGGGCTTCGGCGATGCAATCAACTGCGAGGACTCATGGCGGGTCTGCTCCGCATACGTCGACGATCAGTTCAGGCAGTACTTTACCGATGAGAGCGGCCTCAACCGCAGGCACATGCAGGACAATAGGGTGCACTGCTGCCTGTACTTTGTACCGCCCTGGGCCCACAGGTACTACTTTGAACGTTAAAAATTGTTTATATTGTCACACCAAGGTTGTTGAATTCGTTATCTAATAGTTACATTTATGAAGTACACAAATCACACAACCCGAGTCTATCTATTACATTTCTATCTGTGAGATGTTATTTTATTCAGTATGCAACCAATTTGTGATATAAAGAATGTGACGGGTCAAAGTTGATCATGACTGCTGATAGCCGCGCGCTGTCGACTGCTGCGGAAGCACACGTGCCCGCTTGCCCGCATATAGAGGACAATCAATCTAATGTCAATGACATCAAAAAATATTAAGCTCATGAGGATGTTTATTATTTGTAATTACAGTTAACTTAACGGTAAAATGGTTTTGTAACGAAAATTTTTAAAATTAGTGTCAAACTAACATTAAGTTGATCTTTATCATTTTTTTCCTAAAGAATAAGAGTGGTTTGACCAAATGATTTTCAGCAATGAACCACCGTTACGTTGATGCGTGTCGCAGAGCATGAATAGGAGAATTTATTCAGTCACTAACAGGCCAATAAAGTCTCATTGCGCTAATAGTTCCATTTCCAATCACACTCCATGTTACGCCTCATTTGATTGATGGTAATGGTATCGAACAATATCACGATCTACTAACGTCTGTAACAATTGAATGAGCGGCAACATTATAATGGTATAATTGATCTATTTTAAATTGTTTTAATGTGTCAGCCTGAGGCAAGTGGACGTGGAGATGATGCGGCGGCTACACAGAAAGGTGAACATCGTGGTCGTCATTGCGAAGGCAGACTCACTCACTGTAATGGAAGTTAAAAAACTCAAAGCGCGCATACTTCAGGACTTAGAAGACTATCAAATACAAGTAGGGTATTTACATAAATAATTAAGAATATGCTTGAGTTTACAAACAAATAACAAATATATTTCAGCATTGTGTTTTTGTAAACCTTTCGTGGTTATTTTTAGGTTAAGTACTTTCATGAATGCAAAAAGTGCTGGAAAGGTTTGCTTTGAAGCAAATGGATATCTAAGCTTATGATTAGATGTTGCGGTTGCTTGACTTTGGTGAGTATTTTCTTGCTTGATCCAGGTGTACCAGTTCCCAGAGTGCGACAGTGACGAGGACGAGGACTTCAAGCAGCAGGACAGAGAGCTAAAGGCGGCGGTGCCCTTCGCAGTGGTCGCCGCCGACACTGTCATGGAGGTGGGCGGCCGGCGCGTGCGCGGTAGGCAGTATCCCTGGGGAATCGTCGACGGTTAGTTCTTATACTCGTAGTTTAACATTATCATTGCCTTTTTGTCTAATTATTCAACCACGAGTCCCGACATGTATGTCGGGTTGCATGTACATATATTGTTACGACATGTATGTATATATAATATCGCCATCCCTCTCACTCTCTTCAAAAAGTCGTAGGTAAAAATAATGTTAAAACAGTTGAAATTCACGGTTACATGTAAAGAATGTAATCTTTTGAATTCGTTTTATTTGAAGAACGCCGAAAGAATTTATAAAAGCGTCATTTGTTGGCCCCTTTGCTTACATTAGTAAGTACAGATGAGCACGAGAGTTTGTTTCGTGTCAACATAAATTTGAATAAACTATAATAAATTTACACAAAACACAAAACATGGTATTTGGCGAACTAAGAGTTACGATAGGTGACGTTAAAAAAACTTTTTAATAAAAAAACAAAACCGACTTCCAAACAAAATACACTAAAAACAAAACAAAATACACTAAAAACAAAATATTCTCA